TAGTCATCCCAGTCATCCTTAGTCATCCCTAGTCATCCCACTCATCCCTAATCATCCCTAGTCATCCCTAGTCATCCCAGTCATCCCCAGTCATACCTAGTCATCCCTAATCATCCCTAGTCATCCCAGGCATCCCTAGTCATCCCTAGTCATCCCTAGTCATCCCTAGTCATCCCACTCATCCCTAATCATCCCTAGTCATCCCTAGTAATCCCTAGTCATCTCAGTCATCCCTAGTCATCCCTTGTCATCCCTACGCATCCCAGTCATCCCTAGTCACCCGTAGTCATCCCTAGCAATCCCTAGTCATCCCAGTCATCCCTAGACATCCCTAGTCATCCCTAATCATCCCAGTTATCCTTAGTCATCCCTAGTCATCCCAGTGATCCCTAGTCATCCGTAGTGATCCCTAGTCATTCCAGTCATCCCTAGTCATCCCTAGTCATCCGTAGTGATCCTTAGTCATCCGTAGTGATCCCTAGTGATCCCAGGCATCCCTAGTCGTCCGTAGTGATCCCTAGTCATTCAGGTCATCACAGTCATCCCTAGTCATCCGTCGTGATCCCTAGTCATTCCAGTCATCCCTAGACATCCCTGCTCATCCCTAGTCATCCGTAGTCACCCTAGTTATCCCAGTCATCCCTAGTCATCCCTAGTCGTCCCAGTCGTCCCAGTCATCCCTAGTCATCCCTATTCATCCGTAGTCATCCCAGTCATCCCTAGTCATCCGTATTCATTCATAGTCATCCCTAGTCATCCCCAGTCATCCCAGTCATCCATAGTCATCTCTTGTCATCTCAGTCATCCCTAATCATCCCTAGTCATCCTTAGTTATCCCAGTCATCCCTACTCATCCCAGTCATCCCTAGGCATCCTTAGTCATCCCAGGCATCCCTAGTCATCCCTAGTCATCTCAGTCATCCTTAGTCATCGCTAGTCATCCCAGTCATCCTTAGTCATCTTTAGTCATCCCTAGTCATCCCAGCCATCCCTAGTCATCCCTAGTCATCCCAGTAATCCCTAGTCATCCCAGTCATCCCTAGTCATCCCTAGTCATTCCAGTCATCCCTAGTCATCCAGTCATCCCTAGTCATCCTTAGTCATCCCTAGTCATCCTTAGTCATCCCTAGTCATCTCTAGTCATCCTTAGTCATTCCTGTCATCCCTAGGCATCCCAGTCATCCCTCGTCAATCTTAGTCATCCCTGTCATCCCTTGTCATCCCAGTCATCCCTAGTCATCCCAATCATCCTTAGTCATCCCTAGTCATCCCTACTCATCCCTGGCATCCCTAGTCATCCCTAGTCATCCCAGTCATCCCTAGTCATCTCTAGTCATCCCTAGTCATCCCAGTCTTCCTTAGTCATACCTAGTCATCCCAGTCATCCCTAGTCATCCCTAGTCATCCCAGTCATCTTTAGTCATCCTTAGTCATCTCTAGTCATCCCCAGTCATCCCTAGTCATCCGTAGGATTCTCTAGTCATCCCAGGCATCCCTAGTCATCCTTAGTCATCCCAGTTATCTTTAGTCATCTCTAGTCATCCCTAGTCATCCCTAGTCACCCCAGTCATCCCTAGTCATCCCTAGTCATCCGTTGTCATCCCAGTCATCCCCAGTTATCCCTAGTCATCCTTGGTCATCCCTAGTCATTCCAGCCATCCCTAGTCATCCCAGTCATCCCTGGTCATCCCAGTCATCCCTAGTCATCCCAGTCATCCCTAGTCATCCCAGTCATCCCTAGGTATCCCTGGTCATCCTAGGCATCCCTAGTCATCTTTAGTCATCCCAGTCATCCTTAGTCATCCCTAGTCATCCCTAGTCATCCCTAGTCATCGCTAGTCATCCCAGTCATCCCTAGGATTCTCTAGTCATCCCAGGCATCCCTAGTCATCCGTAGTCATCCCAGTCATCCCTAGTTATCTCTAGTCATCCGTAGTTATCTCAGTCATCTCTAGTCATCCCAGTCATCCCTAGTCATCTTTAGTCATCCTTAGTCATGTCTAGTCATCCCCAGTCATCCCTTGTCATTCCTGTCATCCCTAGTCATCCCAGTTATCTCTAGTCATCCCTAGTCATCTCTTCTCATCCCTAGTCATCCCAGTAATCGCTAGTCATCCCTAGTCATTCGTAGTCATCCCAGTCATCCCTGGGCATCCCTAGTCATCCCTAGTCATCCCTAGTCATCCCAGTCATCCCTAGTCATCTTTAGTCATCCTTAGTCATCTCTAGTCATCCATAGTCATCCCTAGTCATTTCTGTCATCCCTAGTCATCCCAGTCATCCCTAGTTATCCCTACTCATCCCTAGTCATCCCTACTCATCCCTAGTCATCCCTAGTCATCCCAGTCATCCTTAGTCATTCGTAGTCATCGTCAATCATCCAAGTCATCCCTGTCATCCCTAGTCATCCCAGTCATCCCTCGTCATCCTCAGTCATCCCTGTCTTCCCTTGTCATCCCTAGTCATTTCTGTCATCCCTAGTCATCCCAGTCATCCCTAGTCATCCCTAGTCATCCCTACTCATCCCTAGTCATCCCTAGTCATCCCAATCATCGCTAGTCATCTCTAGTCATCCCTAGTCATCCCAGTCATCCCTAGTCATCCCTAGTCATCCCTGTCATCCCTGTCATCCCTAGTCATCCCAGTCATCCCTCGTCATCCTTAGTCATCCCTGTCATCCCTTGTCATCCCAGTCATCTTTAGTCATCCTTAGTCATCTCTAGTCATCCCCAGTCATCCCTAGTCATCCGTAGGATTCTCTAGTCATCCCAGGCATCCCTAGTCATCCTTAGTCATCCCAGTTATCCTTAGTCATCCCTAGTCATCCCTAGTCTTCCCTAGTCACCCCAGTCATCCCTAGTCATCCGTTGTCATCCCAGTCATCCCCAGTCATCCCTAGTCATCCTTAGTCATCCCAGTCATCCTTCGTCATCCCTAGTCATTCCAGCCATCTCTAGTCATCCCTAGTCATCCCAGTGATCCCTGGTCATCCCTAGTCATCCCTAGTCATCCCTAGTTATCCCAGTCATCCCTGGTCATCCCAGTCATCCCTAGTCATCCTTAGTCATCCCAGTCATCCTTCGTCATCCCTAGTCATTCCAGCCATCCCTAGTCATCCCTAGTCATCCCAGTGATCCCTGGTCATCCCTAGTCATCCCTAGGTATCCCAGTCATCCCTGGTCATCCCAGTCATCCCTAGTCATCCTTAGTCATCCCAGTCATCCTTCGTCATCCCTAGTCATTCCAGCCATCCCTAGTCATCCCTAGTCATCCCAGTGATCCCTGGTCATCCCTAGTCATCCCTAGTCATCCCTAGGTATCCCAGTCATCCCTGGTCATCCCAGTCATCCCTAGTCATCCTTAGTCATCCCAGTCATCCCTAGACATCCCTAGTCATCCGTAGTCATTCCAGTCATCTCTAGTCATCCCTAGTCATCCCTAGTCATCCCTAGTCATCGCTAGTCATCCCAGTCATCCCTAGGATTCTCTAGTCATCCCAGGCATCCCTAGTCATCCGTAGTCATCCCAGTCATCCCTAGTTATCTCTAGTCATCCGTAGTTATCTCAGTCATCTCTAGTCATCCCAGTCATCCCTAGTCATCTTTAGTCATCCTTAGTCATGTCTAGTCATCCCCAGTCATCCCTTGTCATTCCTGTCATCCCTAGTCATCCCAGTTATCTCTAGTCATCCCTAGTCATCTCTTCTCATCCCTAGTCATCCCAGTAATCGCTAGTCATCCCTAGTCATTCGTAGTCATCCCAGTCATCCCTGGGCATCCCTAGTCATCCCTAGTCATCCCTAGTCATCCCAGTCATCCCTAGTCATCTTTAGTCATCCTTAGTCATCTCTAGTCATCCATAGTCATCCCTAGTCATTTCTGTCATCCCTAGTCATCCCAGTCATCCCTAGTTATCCCTACTCATCCCTAGTCATCCCTACTCATCCCTAGTCATCCCTAGTCATCCCAGTCATCGCTAGTCATCCTTAGTCATTCGTAGTCATCGTCAATCATCCAAGTCATCCCTGTCATCCCTAGTCATCCCAGTCATCCCTCGTCATCCTCAGTCATCCCTGTCTTCCCTTGTCATCCCTAGTCATTTCTGTCATCCCTAGTCATCCCAGTCATCCCTAGTCATCCCTAGTCATCCCTACTCATCCCTAGTCATCCCTAGTCATCCCAATCATCGCTAGTCATCTCTAGTCATCCCTAGTCATCCCAGTCATCCCTAGTCATCCCTGTCATCCCTGTCATCCCTAGTCATCCCAGTCATCCCTCGTCATCCTTAGTCATCCCTGTCATCCCTTGTCATCCCTTGTCATCCCAGTCATCTTTAGTCATCCTTAGTCATCTCTAGTCATCCCCAGTCATCCCTAGTCATCCGTAGGATTCTCTAGTCATCCCAGACATCCCTAGTCATCCTTAGTCATCCCAGTTATCCTTAGTCATCCCTAGTCATCCCTAGTCTTCCCTAGTCACCCCAGTCATCCTTAGTCATCCGTTGTCATCCCAGTCATCTCCAGTCATCCCTAGTCATCCTTAGTCATCCCAGTCATCCTTCGTCATCCCTAGTCATTCCAGCCATCCCTAGTCATCCCTAGTCATCCCAGTGATCCCTGGTCATCCCTAGTCATCCCTAGTCATCCCTAGTTATCCCAGTCATCCCTGGTCATCCCAGTCATCCCTAGTCATCCTTAGTCATCCCAGTCATCCTTCGTCATCCCTAGTCATTCCAGCCATCCCTAGTCATCCCTAGTCATCCCAGTGATCCCTGGTCATCCCTAGTCATCCCTAGTCATCCCTAGGTATCCCAGTCATCCCTGGTCATCCCAGTCATCCCTAGTCATCCTTAGTCATCCCAGGCATCCCTAGACATCCCTAGTCATCCGTAGTCATCCCAGTCATCTCTAGTCATCCCTAGTCATCCCTAGTCATCCCAGTCATCCCTTGTTATCCCAGTCATCCCTAGTCATCCCTAGTCATCCCTAGTCATCCTTAGTCATCCCAGTCATCCCTAGGATTCTCTAGTCATCCCAGGCATCCCTAGTCATCCGTAGTCATCCCAGTCATCCCTAGTTATCCCTAGTCATCCGTAGTTATCTCAGTCATCCCTAGTCATCCCTAGTCATCTTTAGTCATCCTTAGTCATGTCTAGTCATCCCCAGTCATCCCTAGTCATTCCTGTCATCGCTAGTCATCCCAGTTATCCCTAGTCATCCCTAGTCATCCCTAGTCATCTCTACTCATCCCTAGTCATCCCAGTCATCGGTAGTCATCCCTAGTCATTCGTAGTCATCCCAGTCATCCGTGGTCATCCCTAGTCATCCCTAGTCATCCCAGTCATCCCAGTCATCCCTAGTCATCTTTAGTCATCCTTAGTCATCTCTAGTCATCCATAGTCATCCTTAGTCGTTTCTGTCATCCCTAGTCATCCCAGTCATCCCTAGTCATCCCTACTCATCCCTAGTCATCCCTACTCATCCCTAGGCATCCCTACTCATCCCAGTCATCGCTAGTCATCCCTAGTGATTCGTAGTCATCGCCAATCATCCCAGTCATCCTTAGTCATCTCTGGTCATCCCAGTCACCCTTGGTCATTCCTAGTCATCTCTTGTCATCCCAGCCATCCCTAGTCATCCCTAGTCCTCCCTAGTCATCCGTAGTCATCCCTAGTTATCCTTAGTCATCCCTAGTTATCTCAGTCATCCCTAGTCATCCCCATTTATCTTAGTCATTCCTAGTCATCTCTAGTCATCCCAGCCATCCCTAGTCATCCCTAGTCATCCGTAGTCATCCGTAGTCATCCGTAGTCATCCCAGTCATCCCTAGTTATCCCTAGTCATCCGTAGTTATCTTAGTCATCCCTGGTCATCCCCATTTATCTTAGTCATCCCAGTCATCCCTAGTCATGCTTGGTCATCTCTAGTCATCCCTAGTCATCCCTAGTCATCCCTAGTCATTCCTGTCATCCCTAGTCATCCCAGTCATCCTTAGTCATCTCTAGTTATCACTAGTCATCCCTGGTCATCTCTAGTCATCCCTAGTCATCCCAGTCATCCCTGGTCATCCCAGTCATCCCTAGTCATCCCTAGTCATCCCAGTCATCGCTAGTCATAGCTACTCATCCCTAGTCATCTGTAGTCATCCCAGTCATCCCTTGTTATCCCCGTCATCCCTAGTCATCCCAAGTCATCCCCAGTCTTCCTTAGTCATCCCTAGTCATCCCAGTCATCGTTAGTCATCCCTAGTCATCCCAGCCATCCCTAGTCATCCCTAGTCATCCCTAGTCATCCGTCGTCATCTCAGTCATCCCTAGTCATCCCCATTTATCTTAGTCATTCCTAGTCATCCCAGTCATCCCAAGGCATCCCTAGGCATCCCTAGGCATCCTAGGCATCCCCAGTCATCCTTAGTCATCCCAGTCACCCTTAGTCATCCCTAGTCATCCCAGTCATCCGTAGTCATCCCAGTCATCGCTAGTCATCCCTAGTCATCTCTAGTCATCCTTAGTCAACCGAGACATCCCTAGCCATCCCCCCTCTCTCCCTCCAGGGGCTCCCGCTGGGTGCAAAGAGGATGTTAGCTATGAGTTATAATTTGTAATGGTAAGATACGTGCTGACATTCACTTTGACTCTTATCTTGGACGTTGCCTTTGTATATCACACAGAGCTTGGCAGAAAAGGAATGTAATCAACTCAAGGCGCAACTTCAAGACTCGGCGAACGTGGCAGATGAATTGAACAAAGTAAGTGTTATTTAATGTTAATTTAGCACTTTCATATATTTTCTACTGCATAGCCTGCACTTCCTCTAATTTATTTATTTTTTTTGTAATAAAAAGGATATTGTATTATACAGTAATTAATAAGGCATTAGTTTGGGCACTCACCAATGGTCCAATAATTGTCCAACTCTTATGGTGTTAAATAACTGGTCTGATATTTCTTTTGTTATGAAGGAAAAAACTCGAATTCAAGAGCTGAAACAGAAACACCAACAACTGCAAAACCAGTGTCAGAGGTGAGGTTTTTCCAAACATTCTTCTCCAGTCTTTTTGTGTGCGTTAGCCTGCTGAGTATTGTATTGTTATGTAATGTTGCGGATGATAGGACAACAGTACTTGTCCTTTTAACATTATAATTACGTTGCCAGTTACGACGTGGTCATCTTAAAGACAGCCACTATGATCTTACCAGTTTTGATTATTTTCTCTTTTATTCAGTCTCCTAAGCAATGAACAGCAACTGTTAGCAGCAAATGAAAGACTAAAAACATCCCTGGAGTTAGTAAATGATGAACTGAGTAAGTAAATACAGTTCAGTGCCTTTGATACCAATCTTTATCTCTTTCTTCATGCTTACTTTCAGGCCTTATAGAGGTGGACGTAAATAGTGAAGGGCAAACAGTAGTTTCTTTTTGTTGCTGACGGGGGCAATCACCAAATGGAGTAACACAAAAGACTGATAGGGCGATTTTTATATGACTTTGAAATGAAAACGCGCGAACAAAACAGAAACAACAAACGAACGGAAGTAGAGCGATTTGATTGGTTTATCGAACGGATTTAAACACGCGTGGCTTTTGATTGGCTAAACGAACGCTTGCGTGAAAAAATGTCATGCCCCAAGAACTTTCTAGAAATAAACCGATACTTCTCTTTGACGTCATACTGCGTCAAGAGTCATTGGCCAATCAAACATTGCCTTCTCCATATTAGGGTTTCTTTGGCGGGAAAAGGAAGAGGCTATGTTTTTAATTTTCATCCATTGGCTGATAAAACAAATAACGAACACTTACAAAACCATTTTTCAACGTCATACGAAAATCGCTCCAAGACACTGAACAATTGCAACAACACAAAAATCGACTTCATCATTGATGTACTGAAAATACGTGTAGGACCTGAACTGGTAAAACTGACTCATGTGTAATTAAAACTTGAAAATGTCGAGATAAACCTTATGATCTGATTTTAGCCAAACTGTCAAGTCGCTTTGTTTTCTGTGATTGATGGGTAAAGGAGGACGGGAGGGGGGGGAAGGTGAATGAGTGGCTTTATAGGGAGAGGTGGGGCTCTTTCCAAAACTCAAACCGTTGAAGAGCGGGTGTGGTTTAATAGATCGAAAGATTACCAGAGTACGAGTAGTCCCCCACTTTTCCTCAGGGATAGTAGAGCGAGCGAAACGCGAGCTCGTGTGAAAAACACCCCACGCGAGAAAAGGCGACACGCAGCGTGTCGTCTTTTCTCGCGTTGGGTGATTTTCACGAGCGCTCGCGTTTCGCTCGCTCTGTACTATCCCTGAGGAAAAATGGGGGACTACTCGTAGTCTAAAAGATTATTTAAAATGGTTTTAACTGTGGTTTTCAATGTCGTTTAGGTATATTGAGATCTGATCTACAAAGACAACAAGACGAAAGTAATAACTCTCTTGAACAAAATAGGTACTGGGTTAAACAATTTTAAAATTGCATACTTTGTTTCCCTGATTCGTGTAGACGCGGTGCCTCAAACCACTCTGGAAAGCGGTTTTAGAAAGACGCGGTTTCGGTTTCGGTGAGCAGATTCACTGGTTTCGTTTGGACGAAAAAAGAAACGCCGTTTCAAAAATATCCGGTTTTGTGTTGACGGGGCCTCTCAGTCTACGAAACCGCATCCCAGTGTTTCATGAAACAGATATTGTCAAACCCCGCTTTACGGCGACCTGCATAATACGGACACCACAGACGGACAGTTTGCTTTGTCCCTGGGGAAAGAAAGCCCTTACATTTTCTATAAATTCAAAAGGCCACTTCCGAGTTCCAAAAACCCTCACTTTCAAAATGAGGCCGAGTGAAAATGAGTTTTATTTGCTTGAGAATGAAAAATCATTTGCATATCAAAGGCTGAGCACTTAACCTCGTTTTGATGCAGAGGCCCAGGGGAACTCGGAAATGGCACTTTCTTTACCCCTTCCCCCCCCCCCTCAGTGTCCGTATTGACGGCATTTGACTCTACATGTTGTTGTGTTCAATTGGACTGAACATTCCACATGTGCAGTATGTGGCCCTTGGTCCGCGACGTTTCCGAAAATGATAAAATATTTCGTCGAAAAAAAACATACGGAGAAAAATGAAAGATCCCGTGATTTACTGGTTAGCAGTATTTCATGAAGGCTCGAAATTAAAGTTTGTTGACAGGTAGGTTAAGTTTGGACTTTTGCGGCTCCGTTAATTACATGATCATGTTTACTTAGCTTGTGAATAAATAAAACGCAACGGGGAGACGTGCCTTTTTGCAGAATAGGTTTTCAGATCAACCTACTTCTGCTGTTGGACGGATATTGCTGCAGACTTTGAATTTTTGTGTTTTATCGACTCTTGAGAAATATCACCAAATTTCGCGTAGTGGTCCTTGGTCCTCGACCTATGACCTTGGTTGAATAAAACTTCGCAAAATAAAAAGAGACGGCCTTTGTTTTCGAAGAATGTTTTGAAAGTCTTCCCCATACATGTCTACAAGTTCTCTTTTTTAATACCTCGAATACATACAGAGCCGTTTAGTAATTAGTTTCGACCCCGCCGAAAACCTCTCGTCGACGCCCGTGTGGGAGACTCGAGGGAGACTGACTTGTCCGAAGTCTTTAAAAGAAAAGCAGATTATTTTATACTCACAACATCTTCCGAAAAAACTATAGCTCTTTAACTATAGCTATTGCACCAAGAATGGAAAAAAATACCTGAAATATAGTGAAAATCACGTTTTCGTGTGGAAACTATCACATTTTTTCGTTTTTTTCGTGCTGCTTACTTCGGTCGCGGACCAAGGACCATCGAACACGGTCGCCTTTTCTCGAATTACAAACAATATACTTAAGTTTGGAACTGGCAGCTTCACTATTATCAAGAGGAACATAAAAGCTATCTTCAGGGATTATTTCAGCTCGTTATGTTTTGTTTCAGGTAAGAAGTTCTTGATAATAATTTTTAGTCGCGGACCAAGGGCCACATACTGTATAGTTAAGTATTGATGTCTTTTTAAAGTGTTGTCAAGAGATTAATTCGTGGGTTTTTGTCCTCAGGCAACAATGGCAAAATGAAAAGAATGGATTAGAAGCTCAAATAACTAAACTAGAAAAAGAATTAAAGAGAAATGAAGAAAATTCAAAGAAGCAGGAGAAAGATAACAAGAAGGTTTGCGATAATTGATATAACCCGTATGAGGGTAATGACTTTTGGAATGCATAATTGGAGGGATTTCACGACCTGAGTGTATTTTGTTGTTTTTGCGACGGTGGCGCGAGAATAATAGGGAGCTTAAGTAAAGACGTTTTTGAACGACGCACGTAAGCTCAAAACTAAATTTCGGCTTACTACGCAGAGTGGTTTTGCCCAAATTTTCCAGCAAATTGTCTCTGTGAGAGTAGAGACACTAAACAATACAAATTTGGTAGCTTCAAGTTCTATTATACGGAAAAAAGCATCACCTCCGGTTGACGTGCGTCGCTCAAAAACGTCTTTTGTTAAAAAATGGATTTTTACTTGTGCGCGCAGAAAACAGTAGTTACGGACAGAATTGTTCCTCCGTCTTCTTGTCAAGGTGGCCGTAAATGGCAATAAAGTCGAATCAATGGTGTAGTCAACCCGGCTTTTCTGACACCCGCCTAATACGGACACCTCAGTATTAGGGACAGTTTGCTTTGTCCCTGGGAAAAGAAATCCCTTACAATTTCTCTAAATTCAATCCGCTTAATGTCATTATATGGACACTCCGATAATATGGACACCTTCCGTGGTCCCCTCAGTGACCTTTTGAACGGGGTTTTACTGTAGTACATTTTTTTTGTTATTTTCTCTAACTATAGAAAGCTTACCCTTTTTTCTTTCAGAAATCCAAAAAACACAAACAAACGATAAACCAACTCCAGGACAAGATACGGGTTTTAGAAGCAAAAGAAGACCAGCTAAAACTAGAAAAAGATTCGGTGAAGTAAGTTATCACAGTGTCGTTAAACGTCTCAATGTGTAGGATTCGGTCAAACATGCCAGAGATGAGAAAACGATCACGTATAACTTTGACTGAAAATTCTGAAAGATAATCTAAGGAAGCTGTATCATTCACCACGAACGAAAGCCAGCTTGGTCTTTGACTTGTGGCTTGCTTTTTGCCAGGCAGTGACCAAGAAATAGTTGACTAGCTTCAAACAGCGTTTTTTGACAAACTTTCTAGGGTTGAATGGGTTTAGCACTCTTCAAAGCAATAGCCTGTGTGGCAGGCGTTAAAACCATTTTCAAATAGACCATACAGCACCTTGCTTACCCCCTCCCCCCCCGCCTCTTCTACCCAAAAAAATTTGCATAGCCATTGTTTCCAACGGTCGTCCCGAGAGAAATCGAAAACAATGGTTAAGTACATTTTGTTTTGTTTTGTTTGTTTGTTTGTTTTTTGGGGTAAACAAGGTGCACTATAGTTTATATGAAAAAGTTGAATCCCCTTCCTCTTTATCAAAATCCGACAATTTCTAGCCTGCGTAGCAGGCGTCGAAAGGGGTAGGGGATAGGGAGAAAGGGAAAAAGGGAGGGGGATTGGGGAGAAAGGGGAAGGGTAAGAAAATGAGAGACTGGTCGTAGTCTGTTTGTCGTGTTTGCTGCGGGAGCAAGAGCAGTAATATGTTTCATTTCGCTCGATTATGATATCACTTGAAAAAAGCGTCTCAACTTGACAATTTCCGGTAAACAAAGTAATTAAGTTCGGACCATTCTGAGAAGCCCCGTAGTTGTGATTGGTCACGTATTGACAGTGACATTATCGGATTAGTTCAGAAAATGGTGGGCGGATTACAATGACACCGGCTCTTATAGCAGGCGCTCCCTTCCCTATCCCCTCTTTTGTGCTTTTCTCCCTCCCCCCTCCCCTTTTTGCGCCTGCCACGCAGGCTAACAATTTCGGATATGCGTACATCCTTTTTTCTAAGAGAAATTAAATTAATTTTGTTAAACGAGTACGGTGTTTATAAAGTTCTTGTCCGGTTTCAATTTAGTGAGCAGATATTTACGTATGGTATCGAGATGGTTCGTCCTGTTTTCTTGATGAGGAAAACGTTTTAGCGTTACTGAATAAATTCCAAAACAAGAGAATGCAAAAGCGCAAAAATAAATTTCCCCTTAATTTGATTTGATCTTGCACCGAGGCGACCGAGTTACTTTATCCTTGGTTTTCTAATATGACTTGCAGGAAACATTTGGAGCTGGAGAATGAGAAGCTTAGGAGACAGATGGAAAAGGTGGGAGTCGTAGTTTATATTATTATTGTTTTTGTAAATTTACAAAATCTCTAAGCACGACAAAAAATCGGAAAATAAGAAATGTTTGCAGACCATTTAATCTTTTTACGTTTCTAATTTCTGTTAAACGGGATTTTTTCATAATCTACAAGTGTACAGTGCGTGAAAATGAAAATTTAAAGAAATCTGCTACACTGCTACATGTTATTGTCTTGCTTGTCCCTCTCTTGCTTAAAGAAGACTTCCTCAAAACCAGATAGGACCACCAGGCTGGCATTTCAAATTTGCAAATTTTGTGGGTGTAGTCGTGGGTGGGATTTACACTAAAATGAGTTCCCAACAAAAGAAACTTAACTCGCTCCTTTAATACAACTTACCTACTTTGTATATGAACCTTTTATAGTTCAGGAAAAGGCAGAATCGTTTCAAGAGTGTATTAGACAGTGGTCAGGGTGCAGGAGTGACATTTTTCCCTGCCTCAAGTTCACCGGTGCCATTTAACTCTACTCTAGATCAGGTAAACAGAGGAATTAAAGATAAATGCAACACAAATTGTATTATTGTGATAAAGCTTACTTCACTATTGAGCGGCGGATTTAGACCCTGAGGAAAGGGGGGTGGGGTGGAGCTAGTCCAGACCAAGTGATAAGGGAGGGTGGGCTAGGAAGACTTTCTCTCTGGGCCCTCCGGGCCTCGTCTTGATCGAAAAATAAGCTCTTAGATCCGCCAGAACGACAAAACTTCATCTTCTATATTTTACCTAATTATACTTCTTAAAAGTGTGTGTTCTTGGGACGCAATAGGCCCAGTTCAAAGGAGGGCAGCTAGGCAATGGCCTCTAAATCTCTTTTACAATCGCTGGACTACGGGGTAACTATTCAAACTTTCAAGTTCATTGACACTGAACCTAATCCATTCAAATAACGTGTGAGTAAAGTTAGCGATTCGTTTGCTCAACGAAAAGGTACCGATACTCTGCTGTTCACATTTTGCCTTCATTATTCTTTTTCTGCGGCTATTCTTTAACAGGAATCGCTCACTTTTAGGTTCACTCTTAAACTCCGCAAGACACCTATTGGCGACCTAAACAGCTAAACTGAAGAGTTGTTTGGGCTTGCATTTCCTGAGCGTTTTTTATGCACTTCCTATTGATTCTAATGCACTTCCCGTTGTTTACCAAAGTGGCTGAAAACAATACTGCAATGGGTGAACATGTCAAGTACAAGATAACCCATGAAAATTTGACAATACAACTTCAGAGTTGGTCTATTATCCAAAACAGGAACTCTGATGTAGGTAAAACCCAAGGTCAGCTTAAATCCCAAGCAAAACCTACTTAAAAAATCAAACCTCAAATTAACAAACCCATTGAAAAGACGATTACACTCATAAACCCGTAAAACACTCATACATGTGGGGTACCGGGAGTTATGCATGTTAATGTTACGGCTCAGAAAAGCCTCTCTCGGGTATAAAAGGTCTGCTAGTAATAGGCGTGCTAGTCTTTTACGGTCACTCTTGGTTACAGAGCTACTTCTAACAAAAAATGTCTTTCAGGATTGTCAACAGCGGGATATCATGACTGTCAGAGATCGTCTAGAAGAACTTGAAGAAAACCAAAAGCATATAAGCGACTTACTGGCAAACACGGAGAGGCCTGGGGATGACCTGAGAATTAGTTGACACCAGGAATTTAAGTCAGCCAAACGAGTTCAAAGCTCTCACGAACTTTTAACATTCAGACGTGTCAAAATCATATTTATTCCTAGTTGTCCAAAAAACGAAAAATTTATTGGGAAATGAATACATTATATTACAATTTTATAGTGTGATGACCTTTTTGCAAGGTGTGTACATAAGTTTCTTTTACAAAGGATTGTCTTTGATCAGTTTGTCTGCCAACTAAAAGACTATGGAGTGTTTTATATAATAAATTATTTTTTATAATAAATTTCAGTAGAGGGAATATTTGTCTTTTGTTCCGTATTTTATTTTGCATGCCCTGAAAAATTTCCCTTCAGCCCTGGGTCCACTCTAATACTTTTTCTAAAACAATTACAAAACGATATCGCTTAAAACTGAGTAACAATTAACTGAGTGAACAGATACTTTGTTCTGACCATTCTCATTCTCTTGGATGGCGGATGACGGAACAAGAAGATATTTTGCTTTATTACATTTCGAAACAGCTACTATTGAAAGTAAAGTTTTCGTCATAGTAAAAACCTTTTCTTCGTTTTTTAATTATGCCAGTTCAACGACTCTCGCTACTGCTTTAAACGTATCTCCGAGAGAAAGAAAAAGAGTTGTTCTGTTGTTGGAAAGTGTCCAAATTTCTTCTTGCGGCTTTGTTTGTGAACTCAAGGAGAGTTGGTGTTATCAAATTTCGGGTTGATATAAGGCCAATTTGAGGCCCCCGGCCACGAAAAGTGATATTCTTACTTTTCTCGAAAATAGAAAGCTTTTGGGGAATAAATATTAGTCAGATTACTTATCTACCTAAAAGTTATCTATGGACAAAAAATGACAGAAATTGATTTTTCAACTCCTGCCACTCGATGCTCGATATTCCTAGTGATCTTAAAACTCTCATATTGAGCTTGGGCTGCCTGTGGTTAAACAACCAAGATCCAGTCTTGAACTAGGGCGCTTTCCATTAAGGAAAAAAACCCGGAAATTTCGGTGGTAGCAAAAGTGGAATTTCCGATTGGTAAAAAGTTGTTCCATTTGGTCGTAAACCCCGGTACGTGGCGGTGCCCGACCGTGGACCTGGAACTGGTACAAACTACGAGAAACGTAAATGGAACACGACATTCCGTTCGGAAATTCCAACCGGGAAAACGGGACCACCTTTTTAGATTTTCTACTTTTTCTGGGAATTTTCCAGTGGGTCGAGCCGACGAAACGTGTTCCATTTACCACCGAACCGGAAATTCCGGAAATTTTGACTAAATGGAAAGCGCCCCTAGTCTCCCTTGCAGCCGTTGAGAAGGAAACTAGCCTGGAACGAGTCTCATAGCCGGAAGATGAAGGCGTTCATGAAAACTGGTTGGAGAAACTGCTATCTTCGGCCGGAAAGCAATCACCTTTTCAAGCTAAGAAGAACCTTTTTAAACAACGGCGTAAAATGGTCAAATGGCGTTAAAAGTTCTGCCACTGAAGTTGAAGGTTCGACGTCCTTGCACGTCCTCACTGACGACCAAAAACATCAGGCAAGTACTGTAATTGTGTTGTTTAAGTTTCCGAAAATTCAATAACAACTCTATGAGGGATGGAATGCGGAGTGCATGACTGTTTTTTCGGCACCGAAATAATTTCTTGGATCCTTATAGAAACAATAAGATGACATGAACAAAAGTTGCTTCAAGATCAGGTATTATAAAACGTGACATGTAATCGAAGATTGCATGGACGCGAGTTCATTTCCTGTGATTTACAGTCAAACCAAGTCAAGCGTGCCCCCCAAGAATCCATTAATGAATTTATTATTCAAAAGTTGAATCCGTTGCTAGTTGTAGATTTCAGATTGATCTCTGCATTCTTGTATGTGTAATGAGCCGTGAATTCACACGCGAGGCAGTTATGAAATTTCTACCAGCTCCATTTTCCTGAAATTGATGTAAATGTCTTCTAAGAAGCTTAATCCATTCAAAGATTTCCAATCTGACCAAATACAGAGAAGTTCTCGTAAAATATTCACTGCTCATTACGCATGCAGAAATGCCGCTTTGAATTTGACACCAGTTACGGCAAGGGCGTATGGAAAATCAGGAATCCGGAGCCGGAACCGGAACTTAAATTGAGACCAGGGTAAACTGGGAAGCACTGAAACCAGTTCCCGATACCCGTGTGGGAATAAAATTCAAGATGGCGTCCTCTGTTATCATTGTTTTGAGAAATTTTCAGCACAGTGATCGTGATACCAAAGGTATACTCACATTCGGAAAGTGACTTGCAAAAAAAAGGTAAGTGCATCCTACTGTTATTCCTAGCAGTCATAAACTGTGACTGCAGCTGTAGGTCGAGCAATTTTCGACAGATCGAGACTACAACTAATCAGAAGCCGATTGACTGCGAAAAACAGCCATTATTAGTATGTGATGTTTAAGACCGCTGTGTTATTCATTTCCTTCTCTTGAGCCTAAGTTACTCATTTCTTAAAAGGGCTCCGTGTTTCAACTCATGTGAGGAAAAGGCGGCAAAGGGAGGAGGAGTACTCATAGCAATCATGATCCCAAGTTGCAACGCTCACACGTTTATGAAATTCTCGAAGAAAAATTTTGCGCCGTACGCAAAAAATGCGACAGTAAAAAATATAATAACAATAAATAAATATAACGTGGGGATGAAAAGTCTTGATCGAGCAATAATTGTTAGTGACACTCTTAAGACAGAAACGTCTCCAAGTTGTATTTCTTAGGTTCGGGTTCCGGTTCCGGTTCCGTTTCCGGCTCCGGTTCCGGATTCCGGATTCCGGCTTTTCCATACGCCCTTACGGGAACGTCTAACGGATTCATTTTTCAAATAATCAATTCACTGATGGAATCTTGGGGGGTACGCTTGACTTGGTTTGACTGTAACCGCATGAATGATGTTTTGAAGTGTTCCTCAATTTTGAAAAATAGTTGCTTGAAATTGACCAGAGCACCTCTAACACACGGGCTTAAATAACTAAAAAAATTAAGTGTTCGGGAAAAGGCTGAAAAGGTGTCAGAGGTGTGATGAGTTCATTTTCTGAACAAATTATCTGCAATTGTCAAAACCGCTTTGTTATAAATATCAAAACTACCACTTTCCGACAATGCTTATTTGACAGTTTTCATTCCTAGTCCAGGGAGAATTTTCACGTTCTTTTGCCAGTGGCTTTGTTAGAATATCTGCCACCATCTCATCAGAGGGGACATATTTTAGTTCGATTGCTCAGCGCGAACAAATTGGTAGCGTATGTCATAGCCCACGTAGCAAGCGTTTCTGTTAAGTTTCGGGGCAAAAAAAGAACGAGGAAGTGGATTTTTGGTTTTGACCGCGCGAGAAATGAAACGAGAGCCAAAAAATGAAAGACCGGGGAGGGAGAGGGGAAGGAAAAAAGGAAGGAAACGCTTGCAGACAAACCCTTCGATTTTGAAAATCTGCGTTCGCCAGCGAACGCAGCGCCTGATTGGCTCAGCTAGTCGAACAATATTGACATGTGTCGATCAAAGGTTTGTTTCACACTGGGAGGTCATGTGTGGTACGTGACACGCATCTTAGGGCCAGTTTACATGGAGGTGGGGGACCCCAGATAGGTGAGGTAACATGTGGTGGGTCACCCCACCTACCATGTAAACGTGGTCAAATTAAAATGAGAGATTATATGGAAAGGCGGGCTACCCCACCTAAGCGGGTTACCTCACTTAACTGGGGTCTCCCACCTGCATGTAAACAGGCCCTTAATTTCCTGCGGTTGTTGTTTATTCTGGTCGGTAAGTAGCCTGTTCACAGATGCTCTATTTTCTCTTCAAAGTCCGTCGAGCGCGGGTGATAAAATATAAACCACAGAGGATTTATTGACCGCCAGCGCAAGGGGTTAGTGGTGGGGGAAGAAGAGAATATTCTTCTTTCTTTCTCGCACTCCGCTCTCGTTCTCGCGCGCTCGCTTCGCTCGCCGATATTTTCGAAGATAACGAAAAGAAAAATGACACAACGTCTGTGTTCAGGCTAGTCGGCAAGAGTTTATACCCTCCAATGCAAGAGCATTTTCTTTAACTTCTTTTGAAACGCAAAACTCTTCTTGCGACTATATAAGGGTTTCAGGTCGTTTAATTTATTGTCTAAAGTGTCTCCTGGATCTGAATTACTAAAAGCGATTTTCTTTTGTCACGGAATGCGATAATTTCCTGCAATGTTTTGTCATGCTGGGCCCAGCTCGTTGGTGTTTATTTTTTTGGCGGGATGTTAAATTCTTTCGGATAGTGATTTACAGTTAAAAAAAAAAAACTAGGTCGATGTTTCGGATAAACATAAGCGCGCCTTCTCATTGGTTGAATAGTGTCGCGTGACCAGTTCCGGCCCTGTCCTTAAATTTAGGGATATTCCGGAATGATTATTAAACCTATTGCTTTTTCGACGTTCTCGTTGCCGTCGCTGTCTTCAGATCATAAGGTCCCTATCATGTTTGAGGAGGACATTATCCGATTTAAAACACCTTTCCATTGTTTTAGAACCAGCCGGTCATTATTGAGGCCACCAAAATGGACTAGCAGTAGGTTACTATTCGTAATAATGACCTCTACCACCTTAGTGACTTGCTCTTCCAGTTATTGCAAATAATAACCTCTTCAATGGAAAGGCGCATTAAACGAATGATGCATCATTAATTTGTGTTACAAATGGAGGTATTAGAGAGATTTAGAGTGGGGTCACGTTTACCAAACGTAGCCTGCGTAGCAAGCGTTTCCGCGCGGTTTAGGAGCAAAGAACAAGGAACGAAAGTCAAACACCGAGCGAAAAATGGCGCAAGTAAAAAAGCGGAGAGGGGTTTCATTGTTTGGCTCTCGTTTCATCTCTCGCGCTGCCAAAACTGGTCTTTCTTTGCTCCGAAACCAAATGGCAACGCTTGCTACGCAGGCTACGGCAAACGACGAACGTGAATTTCAGTATACCACGTGACCAAGTTTTCCCTTGTGCTTTACTGTTCATTACGTCTGCCCCAAGATTAGTTGCTTCATGTTAGTTTTGTCTATACCAATTGTTTTGGACTGTTTTTAGCTGCAAGTTTTGTATTTTGAAAAATTCTCCACTTGAATCTGCCGTTTGCCGTAAGCACATGACTCTTGAATTGAGTTTCAAAATAGAAATAGTTCCTCTCTATCCCGTACGATTGTTCAAAGATTAAAGAGAAGAGCCCTCGCGCCCCTCAGAATTGTTCCTTTAGAAAAAAAAAAAAATTTGTTTTACCTTTCTTTAACTCCATGTATATAGTATGAAAAAGATGGTTTTACAATAGTCCAAGATATCTTTAGCAAGGACCATATTGACCAGATGAGAAAGGTTTTGGATGAATATGTTGAGCAGTGAGTATATGATATGCATGTTTTTCGTGTAGCAATTCAATTGATTTGCAGCTGTGACCTCAAGTCCTTGTTTCAACTTCTTTTCTTTCCGTGCAGCTTTAAGTAGCTTTGAATAAAAAACGTAAAAAAGTAAAACGGAGCACTAATCAGGGGCACCCAACGTCAATTTTCGGAAACTATTTGTTCGGATTTGAGATCTAGAATTTTCGGAACATTTTGTTGTAAAATTTCTTGCTTGCCTGCCTCTCCTAGGATTTTCGAACATCTAAAAAATGGTATAGTTGCCCATTTTTAAAGGATTTTCACCCTAAAAAGATCACCTAGAATTTTCGGGCGCATTTTACCTGGCTGAAATTTTCGAAAAGCTAAGTTTTGATCCCTATAATTTTCGGATCACTAGTCTTTCAGCTAGGAAATCCGAACAGATAAAAAATTTTTAGGGGATAAAAATATGCCAAAATCTACCGTTTAAATACTACAATACGTTTAACAATGCTACTGTTTCAGTGGTCTTGAACTACATTCTTGTTGGGTGCCCCTGACTAATGGAGAGAGAGGTGTAAAATGAGGGCACCATCGTTCTCAGGTTTGTCAGTTGAAGTACTGTTACGAGTTACCGACGATTACCGATTAGCACAATCCACAAGCAAAAATTTCCCAGATTCCGGAATCCTTATTCCCTTACATGGGACGATATCTGTGTGCTAGTGGCAATTAGCATCACGATTGTCAATGACTGGAAATGATTTGGCCAATCTCTGTTTGCTACAGGTCCCGCTCAGTTGAACGAACAAACAATCTCTTTGTTCTGGATGCTCTTCACACTCCAGATGAGCCTGTTTTACTGAGACTTCGCTGCATCTCAAATCACAGCAAACTATTCCATGACACAATTTGTCATCCCAAACTTGTAGAAATTGCGTCTGAGCTGGTAAGATCAACTAACCAACTTTTCTTTAGCTGCGTGAGTTATCGATGAAGTTTTAAAAAGGGGGTATGTCGCGCTATTTGCTACATATGTTTTCCAAAAGTAATGGTCAAATTCTGTTAAAAATCTTTAAGATCTTAGATTATATTAGATAAGATCTTTTACTTAGGCATGGAATCCCGTTACCTTGACACAGGAGGGAAATCCCCAGCCCCCGGCTCTTAATGACAACTCTGAAATTCCTTTACAATGTACAGCTTTGTTTTCTATTCTAACCTCTATGAGGCTGATTTTTCAAAGCATGCATCACCGAGGTTCATACCCTCTTTAATGTGTCCATTCCTGAAAGATACACTGTTCAAGATGCTAACTGAATGGTAGAATTATAAACCCGTCTGAGATTTAAGACCCCTAAAACCATACCCTGTTTGGCAGCAAAGCAAATAGCAGTTTAGGTGAAAAAAGGAGTGCCTTCCCCCACCCCCACCGAGTCAAGATGCCTTCGAACAGAAATTTGGGCACGGATACGGGCCAGCAGCGCCCACTTTATCGGTACTTTGCTAAACTCTGGCGTGAATACCTGGGAAAAACATGGATTGACATAAATATCAGTAACACATCAATAACGCATAATTCTTTTTCCATTAAGATTGGACCATCGATTCGTTACATTAATCAAGATAAAGTGAACATGAAGCCGCCACAAAGTGAAAGTTCGGTTGTTACATGGCATCAAGACTGGGCATTTTTTCCTCACACGAATGACAGTTTGGTCACTGTCTGTATTGCCATTGATGACTCCACCAGGGAAAATGGTAACAGAAATACTGTAAACTTCTGCTTATAAGCCCCTTCACTTATAGCTCCCACTGTTATAGGCGCACCTACCTGTAATGAAAAAAACAAGTTCGGTTATAGCACCCCATCCCGCCCCTACCGAATGTAAGCCCCCTCTAGCTTGTACTAAAACGAATTCGATTTTTTTAAGACGTTTTGAGTAAATTTATAAAGTAGTTTGATCAGCACTGCTATGTAGCTTGTTTTGAAGCGCTTCATAGTCCGGCTATAAGCCACCCCCCCCCCCCCCCTCATCTCCCGCCCCGTTTGTAAACCCGACGGTTTATAAGCGGAATTTTACGGTACTGTATACGTTGTGACCTTTTTTTCGAAACTCTTCAATTTAATCTTCAGCTTCAGCTTCTTCATCTTAAGCTTTTTTAATTCCAAATTATACAGGATGTCTACAAGTGGTTCCAGGATCACACAAGGGCCCCCTGTATTCACACTTTAAGGATGGAGCTTTTGTATCGGCCATAACAGATCCAGCGTTTGACCCCAGCACTGCTGTTCATGTGGAAGTAACCGCTGGTGGAGCCTCGTTTCACCATGTCTTAACGGTGCACGGATCGGCACCTAACCTGTCCCGTCATTCACGGCGTATGTTGTGTTTTAACTACAGTTCCACAGATGCTTGGCCATTGCTTGGTGTCGCGGGACATGAATTTACAAGCCATGGCCCAGTGGACTGGGAGAGGTATTGCTCCACGGCGGTGAAAGGCAAAGCCAGTGTGTTTCCACGAATGAAGGCATTGCCTGTCTGCATTCCCATACCTTTGGATTCAGGTTTTGATATTTATCAACATGCCAAGCCTAGTGTCGTTAATCAGCCGCAGTGATCGTGCCCGTGATGACAATTTGCAGTACCTAGTGGAGAGATCGTTACAAGTTATTATTCTCAGTCTGAGAATGGTTCATCAAACGTTTTAAGAATTGAGTGACTTAATGAAATTGGTCATTGGATTTGTTGATCTGGATGAGTGAAGTCCTGGGATCAATTACGTAAAACATCCACAAGGTTGTCCAGTTTAAATTTGACACTTGTACAAACCATTCCCTAGTAATTTTAACTATAAAAATTGCTTTATACATTATTATATAAATTCTTAACACTTAACTCTTTATAAGACCTCTGGGACCGGCGCTTAGTCAATAAATTTTTAAAGGAATTAAGTTTTATGTTAGTAGTCCAGGCCCTCACGATGGAAACTGTTTTTTAAAGCATAGCATTTCCGATGTTATTGGTTGACGTACATTGATTGTATTGTTTTAGAAGCGCGATTAATTAAAAAACGCAGAAAGAAACAAATTAGGGCTGGATTTATTTGCACTATTGTCGGATAGCTGTCGCTCCACGGGCTTTTCTACGGCTAAGCGAGGAGCATCGACTTTAATGTTGGGGCTTGGGGATGAGCGTGGTGCGAGAGCAGGGAATGATGGCAAGGCCTCCGTGCTTGTCTTCAGAGACTGAATTCAAATCCCTCCCCTTACGTTTCAGTTGTATGAATATTGCCAGGAGTAAAGCCAATCAATTGGAAAAAATGCCTACTGAATGTTTATGAGTTTTTTATGAACGGTCGAAATCCAGAAAGAAATTATGCTTACCTGCATCCTGTTCTTTTGCCTGGCACGAAAAAAAGAATTTGGTCAAAGGAACATATCTTGGAAGTACTCTTCAAATTCCTCTTCTCTATCGATTTAAAAAGTTAGAGAATACAAAATTTAATCATCTTTGTACACAATCATAAATTAAAGCTCACTTGGACAACTTAGGACCAACAGGATTTTCCAATACTTAGCCCAAAAAATAAGGTCATTTCTTGTAAGCTCTTTGTTTGTTTGTTTGTTTTTGCTGTCAGTTGGCTCATAAGGCTTCCTATGAGCACAGGGCAACCACCCTGTTTGTGAGCCAGTATGGGATCATCGATTTATAGTAATGTATAGAATAAACAGAGAATGGATAAACTTAATGTACGGCGGTTAGGATGTGCGCCAAGCTTCGGATTTGAAAGTACATATTCAATCAAAGATCAAACGAAATGTTGACTAATTCATGTCTCATTTTTCGCTGTCCCCGCCGAGCTGTTTGATGCTTTATTTTTGTAACAAAATTAGTTGACTTGAAGACGCCAGTCAAATAATTACCTCGCAAAATATCGTTGTACACAACTCGGGACGGTGAAAAAACCTGACACTGACTCGGTTAACATTTAGTTTGATCTTTTATTGAAACATTTACAGATTGCAACAACAATGGCCGCACGAACAGTGGGTGGTCTACCTGTGCTATGGGATGCCCCACTTGTTCGAAAGTTGGATAGCGCTATCCACGGGAAACATCACTTTCCAGGGAATAAGTGTGAGGGAACCCAACTGCGTTATCCAGTGGATAGGGAATTATCCGGCGGATAGCGTTATCCACTTTTCGAACAACTGGGGCCAGACTGAAAATGATCAGAATAAATGACCTCGATGCATGTCTATCTGGATCCTTAAGCAACAAAGACATATACCTTGTTTTGTCTACGGTTTTCTTGGCGGGGCCTTTCCAGATATCTTCAACACTCGAAGCCTCCTTATTCGGGGCGGAGCCAGAAGGTACATCTATATATAACCGAAAGAAACGGTAATGGTGTAAATTTTTAAACCAATAACCACATAAGCACCTGAGAGTGACCTGTGAGACAATTATTAGTCTATGCATCATGGTTTTTGTGTGATTTGTCACCTTCTCATTGATTACAGTATTTTGCTCTTCATTGGTGATGTTGAATTGCACCAGTCAACACCAACAACAGTGTTACTAATAGTCTTGCCAGGAGCTAATAACAGGGAGAGAGCAACTTCCATGTCCTCGTGTCACGGCATTTACACCGATAAGTTATTTTTAGAACGGTTTTGGTGCGAATTTAGAGTATCTTTTGGAGTCCCACAAACCAGTCAGCAAAAACTACAGACCTGAAAAAGGTATTTTTTACCTTTTAATTTCGCTTTCCTTTTGCATATCTTTTCTTATCTCATTTTCGTGGGAAAAAGTGCTGTAAATTGTATCTAAAAATAAACCGTCCGTGAAAATGCCGTGACAAAGGCATTGTATGGGTGCATCTCACTCCAGGTTATGGGCTCCTGTCCTACAGAGCCAATCAAACGTTATCATCAATAACAAAGTGACTATAGTAGAACAAACGATAATCAAACCGTTCTGGTCCTTTCTTGGGAATAAATAATTTATGTGTTTAAAAAACTGCAAAGTACTAAAGGTGGCTTAAAATTGAAGCAAAATCGAGTACTGTTGATGAACGAAATTCCAAAATCTAAACTGAAAGCTGGTTTTTCACTACTAGAGGTTTTTTTTACGTTATCGTCATGACATCACTACCGCTCAAGCTTAACTTATATTCCAACTCAACATGATACTTTTAAAACTGGATAAGGAATAATACCCGCCTTGCAGTAGTGAAACTGACTTATAATGAGTAACATAAAACTCTTAAAAGACCAGCATGTTATGCTCTTGTGGCCAAGAGAGAGGGACTATCCACATGTTACAGGAATAACTTTCATGAAAGAAGGAATTTCGCTCCAGAATGAAGTTTGTACTGCAGTCCAACATGACTAAGTCGACCACCTGAGGCAGCCTAAGGAAATCTCGCTCGCGCAAGAGCAGATACGCATGCACCACCTGACCCAGAAAGAAAGTCACAGCGCATCACCTCGGCATTTGAATAGCCCGTAAGCCTAGTACTAGGGTTCCCACTCTACTGGAGAGCTACTTTTTGGTGGGTTCCCTCGAGAATGAAGGATGACCGAAATCGGTGTCGCTCCCACATTTGCTTACAGCGATCCTCTACTCCGTGTCAAATTCTTTAAAAGAGAGCGCCTACCATTTGTACGGAAATTTCGGTGAAAATTGTCCGACAAATGGTTCTCGTATTTTGTTCGCAACGAAAACAGGAATGGGATTTAGTTGTACCATTTACAAAATTACGGTAAATCCTCTCTCTCGAAAGGAAGCCTGGCACTGGCAATCCACAAAAATGGTACAGAAAATTTCGGTCATTTCGGTAAAGCGGGAAAAAGGTAACATCTCGGAAGATTTTACCTCTTTCCCGAAAAATTTCCACCAGGATGAACCGTTCCATTTGAATTCTCACCGGAATTGCCGGGTTTTCCATACAAATGGAAAGCGCTCAAAGTCACACTGGCGACCGATCTATAAGTTAACAACAACACAGGCGCGTGTTCTGGTCATAAAATGAAAGAAAAAAACTAACCTCTTTCATCATCAGAATGGTTACCAGAAACCACTGATGGCACTGGTCTGTCTTTGTCTTTGTGTTTCTTATTCTTCTCTTTAGTTGAAAGAGACTCTACCGATGTCGTAATTTTTTCTTTCTTTCTTTGCTTCGCGAGTTTCCTTCTATGGATACAAATAAACAGTTCAGTACAAAGAAAAATGAAGCACCGTAACTCTTGGATATAACATGAGGGTACAAGCCTAAGTTATATCAAATTCCAAGAGTTGTATTAAGACGGAATCCATCAGAAAATTGAGTAATTTCAATTTTCATTGGACAAAAACCTTGTACCAGAATAATTTAAACAATACTGCATCCTTTTTTACATATTTATATTGGCAACAAGCAACAGGTCAATTTTTTATAAAATGAACTTAGCTGTGAACTCATTAGAGATATACGCAATCTACGAACGTATTAGAGAGTCTGTTATAGAATCTTCGCAGTTTCATATGGCTTGACTGTCAACATTACATATAAATGAATGGCTCTATAGCTGGATACCCTGAAAAGCAGTCTTATGATAAAACCGCAATCTGAGCCATTTTCAAATTGGCTTTCCTTCTATAAAATAACCTGTTAGAAAAGTCATTTAACCGTCTTAAACCAAAGAAATGACCGAATTTATACTAGAGGCGTCTTCAATTATCTGTCTAAGACGAATTATCTATTTGAGAAGGATAAATCGTCTGGATATAAATCCGGTGTTTAGACGAATTTTGGCTCCAAATTCGTCTCGTGTGATAGACGTAGGTGCTGACAGACTAAACAAGTTTAAAATACAAATGTATTAGAATATTCTGGAATATCCGTTTGATTGAGCTGTTTCATTGACCGAATTTAGACTAGAGATGAATTATCCGTCTGAGAAGGATAAATCTTCTAGATATGAAACAGGTCAATCAAAGGGATATTCCAGAATATTCTAATATGTTATTATTCCTATTCCTGGATATAAGGTCAACAGTACTGAACGCACCATTAATAGTTGTCCCCGTGAATATATACTAATCTAGTAATAAAAAAACACTTACTGGTGACGATAGTTGAGTTTATAAGAACAATCCGGACAAAGCCCTGTGTTAGAAAAAGGTTCAATAGAAATCGGTTAAAAAGATTTTAATTTCAATGAAATCACTAAGTCCATCTTTACACTTTTAACCCCACAGATAAAACAAATCATTAAATTCACAGCCGTAATTTGATTAAAATCATTTAATTGCTAAGTTTATCTACGTACTAAGTTTTATCAGCGTATTTTTCTTCTCTCCATGTTCCATATAACCAAAGTTAACCTGTAAAAACAAAGAGAAAAATTGCTAATTAAAAGAAAATGACAGTGTAAGTATTGAAAATGCAACTAAACTTCGAAAAGAAAGATACAGTTCAACCCTGACATCAAAACAAAAAAGGGTGAACTGCGAAAATAAATATACGTATTATATCGGTTTCTTAATGATACAGCGGTTGAACCTCTCCACAATGGCAACCTTGGGAACAGACGAAAGTGGCCATTGTAGAGAGGTGGCCGTTGTAGAGAGGTTTAAACAGAAGTCAGGGTTCTATCTAGGGTGTTTGAGGGGTAGAAGCTTCCTGCCCCCCCCTAAAATGATCAGCTTTCCCCCAAAAAAATATTGTTCTCATTACAGTATATAAGTAACTATATCGGAAAAATCATCCGGACATGACGAGGTTAGTGCAAACACTGTAACATTTTGCAAAATTGAGTCTCAAAATGCACCAGATTGCATGTCAGCGCATATTCATTTCAAAACGTTTCTGGGGGGCATGCCCCCACACCCCCCTGGAAAGCTCATTGCCTTTGGCCACTTGGGACTTCTCTGCCAAACAATAAATCCTAGAGAGTCAATGTATGGACTGTCTGCCAAAAAAAAGTGGCTGTTGTAGAGAGGTGGCCTTTAGTGGAGGTTCGACAGTAGAACTATTCAACAGAGAAAATAATGTGAAAGGTTTCTGAAAGGTTTTAACCCAGTAGTCAACTCGGAGGTCGGTTGAGTACGATCGTCTGGGTGAACGTAGTCCTGAATAGGACTGTTGTTGTTAACAGTGACTGATGTTTCGACAACCTCTTAGTCAAAGTGATCACGTCAGTTGATGGTATTAAACTCTGGTTATTGACCTGATTGGTCAATTAAGTCGCGATGTTATTGGTCGTCTGTCAGTTAAGCCGTGATGTTATTGGGCTACAAAGACTCGTAATGTCATTGGTGCGTTTCGATCCCGTCTATTGTCAGAGTTAAATAGTCGTTTGAGAGAATATTGGTATGTAAACAAAAAACAAAGGCTTGAGCACGGTTGCGATTGTTTCAACTTGACATAAGAACTAGAGCACCTTTGTCTCGCTGGCTTTCTCCACTCCCTACATTCAGTCAGTGAAAACAATAGTTTCTCATAATGTCATGATCACAAACAATTACAACTCGCCTCCCAGCTACGAAGTCCCTCCGTTTCTGTACACCTTTTATCGCCACAAATGAACTGTCCTTTAATAAAGAAACATAATATTTAGTATATGGTGTGCCATAACTGTTCACCAATTTCTTCCTTTGTGATCCAGACTTAATGCCTTGCAGTATCTATAACTACTAGGTGACGACCGGCGATTTAGCCTGCAAACAGCTGATGCATTTCCGGTCGTCGCTTCTCTCCCTCCAAAAAAATATTTTTCGGAGGGAGAGAAGCAACGACCGGAAATGCGTCTGCTGTTCGCAGGCTACCGGCGATTACATCTTGAGTATTTATTTATTTATTCACATGTGGGGACCTCTTACAGAGTTTTCAGTCCACTCTCTACTTAGACACCTTCTGATGGTTACTTCAATTACTATTTAATAGTGAAAAGAAGCGATGACATCACAAAATTGAACTTGTGGAACTATGGGATTTGTTGGCAAATCCAGAAAGAACAAGATGAAAAATGTCCCCTTCTTAAAAATCAGCCAATTGGTGCAAATTGGTGGCACGATATAAGTGTCACTATGCTCAGATGACTCCAAATGGGATATAAATCTTTTAAAATAGGCCTGGATCGTAAACGTTAGGATTCAAGACAATTATTATAGAAGTAAAATCAAGTTCTGATTTCCAAAACAAAAAATTGGATTCTTTCTTCTCATGTCCAGAGGTGAAAATGAAAACTTTGAAAGCACTTTTTGACTATCAAAATGAAATTTTTGATTACCCAAGACAAGATTGTGATTTCCAAAATAAGCATTTTGAACTTTCAAATCAAATTGTAATTTCCAAGAGAAATTTTCAAAATGAGACTTTTGACTGCTAAAATCAAGATTGCCATCTCCAAAATAGACTTTCTCAAAATGATTTCCAAAATGGAAGTCTCAATTTCTCAAATGGGCACTCCAAATGTTGAAAGAAATTTTGATTTTCAACAAGATCTCTGAAATAATGTTTCAATTTCCAAAATAGAAATTTTCATTTTCAAAATGAATTTTTAAAAAATCAAATGAACTTTGAATTCTCAGAATCATCAGTGGTTATGATTTAAGTTTAGTTTTATACCTTTTCCATCAATAACTTCTTTTTCAATCCTCCATCTCAAGGCCACCTGCAAGAAGGTTCCAAATGTCAGACTACTGTCATTAACAAAAATAATAAACAAGCGCGGTTTCAAGTTTATTGTAAGGTACATGTAAAAGAAACCAAAACTTAACACAAAACTATCAGTAAGTCTGTATTTGGGCAGTTCAAGGGAGGCCGTGCATCTGTAAGCTAACATTGAGATAGCATGGGGAGATTCAAGCGAGGAAATCTACTTAATCCCTTTTAAATATCAACAGCGATCAGTCTTTTAGCCTCATGTTCTTGCTGAGGTGTCTACTGCCTCAGATGCATCAAGAAATTATGGGAAATTTTTATACATTTCTTCAGCATCATGGTCCATATTTATGGATCTATATCAGAACAGAAAAGGGGAGGATGATAGTTTTACATAAAACATATATTGGGTCAAGTATAGTGTACCTTGTTTTCCTTGTATCTACTAAGATCTGAAATACAGTATTCTTTAAACAACTTGTCATAATACTTCTTTGCCAAACGCTTTTCCCTAAAAAAAGAAAAAAAAAGGTCAGTAGTAGAAATGGTAAAAGGTTAGATGTTAGTGTTTGCATAACCATCACAGTGATGTTGAAATATCAAACAACTTACCATGTACTCTCTGGATTGTCTTCTTCATTCCAAATGAATCTATCAAGAAAGTGATAATATGTCATTAACAGTACAGTACACAATGATTTGTATTCACTTCAACCAGCATGTAATCTCTCATTCCTTGATTTTTAAAAAAGTCACCAAACTGAGACAGCTTAATCTAAAATTTATAGTTTTATAACCCTGCCTTATTTTTGACGATTCTAATTCTTACACCCTCTAATCTGAAATGTGGTATTGAGTTTAGAATTTTTGGAATTGTGCAATACAGTGGGAGATATAAGGAGGGTTCTGAGGATCTAGACTGCCCCCCCCCCCCTTCTTCCCCAAATACACCTATCAGACCAGGGAAAATAATATGTTTAGTAATTTAATGACTACTTACTTTGGAGCAGAAAACTGATACCACTGAATAGATATAAGTTGTTTCATTCCCCATAAAATATTGTGTAGTTTTGAAGAAAGCTTGAGGTTATTGGCTGACTAAACAGTACCAAAACAGAGAGCACAAGTTTGGATGTAACCCAGGAATAATTAGTGCGAATAAGGCTATCAACCCAGTATGGTATTGCAATGAGTTTAAATGGAAGTCAACATACCTGTGTTCTTCCTTTATGACATCCAAGTCAGTTTTGTCTCTGGAGCTATACTCAAATAATAAAGATAATTAAAACATAGGACTTAGAAAAAAATAATTAGCCTTACAAAATTGCATTTTTATATATATTCACTACAGTGGAACCTTGACCATTTTTCATTCAAAAATCACCCCCAGCTTATTCTTTACAAACAGCTAGTGTTGATCAAATTTGGAAGATGTTTTCTATTATTCTGCTCTTTTACAGTCAAACCAGGTCAAGCGTTCCCGTCGCTAACAAACTAATGAATTCATTAATAGAAAAATGATTTCGTTTGTTGATTCAATAATCCCTTTAATCAAAATAACAGCTAGAATAGACAGACCGCAAACGCAAAGAAACTCACAAAGGCCAAGGATCGAAATCCACCAATCACCGCACATACACTGACCTCAGTTTGACCGTCGTGTTTTCTAAGAGGTCAGGCCTAGGTCTGTTGCACTGATTATTGGCAGCAAACTGGCGTACATGTAACAGTTTGTTTGGGTTTGAACTTCAGAACTCGCCAGCACTCGACTCTCAGAAGAAAAAGAGGAAAAAACAAAATTCTGAGGTCAACTTGTGGAAAGTGTAATTTTTCAAAAAACAGTAATCGAATCAACATTTGATTATGGAATCGAGGCTAAATATGACTATTGGATTGTTCATTTTATGAATGGATTATTGAATCAACAAACGAAATCATTTTTCCGTGAATGAATTCATTAGTTCGTTAGCGACGGGAACGCTTGACCTGGTTTGACTGTAATATTAATTAGTAATTGTTAATTATCCAGACTCATTGCCCTTGGGGTAAATAATATTCTGAAAATTTGGGGTCTGGAAATAGAAAATATAAGTATGAATGAGCTCTTGTCACTGATTTTATTGTTTCAGAAAAAGATTGACCAGTAACTATTATAGTGGCTAAAAAATGCATTTATCTGTCATATGTGGCAAAGTCGATAACTCATTTAGGCATGCAGCTGAATGCACTTCACTGCATAAAGATAAGTAAGCAGCACTTTATTTCTTTGAAAAGAATAAGAATCCGCTTCAAGATAAAAGAAGGGCAAAATAAATTACAGATTCATAGAAGAATAATATTACATGTAGTAAAAGAAACCAACTTTCATGAATCAGGCAACAAACTGGGCGAATACTATAGTAATTTTTTTCTTTTAATTTTGTCTTTGATTAATATGTGAATCACAAACCTGTCTCTCTTGTAATGCTCTATTCCTTTTCCATAATACAATATATAGTCATTGATCATCTTTTTGTGTTTTGAGTACTAAATTGTCAAGGAACCTCTTTAGTTTATATCATTTCCTTTTTAAATTTATATTACAAATTTCCTTTTTTTTTGTAATTTAATTTTATTTTTACAGATGATTATTGAAATTCAATTAGTAAGTTTTTTTGTATCTTGTCATTTGTATTTTTGTTATTGTTATTTATATGTTTTCCAGCTTGATAAAGAAAAATGCTCTTGGGCTAACTTTGGTCAAATAACATGGGCTGATCAAATTAAAAGGTACTAGAGGGTAAAAACATGAATGATGAGATTACAGTTCTATTCATTCCATTTCTTCTTGACTTGGTGGAAGTCCAAAGGAATGCTGGCTACATACTTGCCAACCAAGTGTAACAGCAACTTGGAGATTAAGATTGTGGGTTCTTAATAGTCCCCAAAAGGTACAGTACACACCCTTATAATATGTACAATCATACTCAAAATGACCAGATAGTGAACATTAAAAGAATTTCTTTTAATATTCATTAATAGCTCATGTACTACAGTAGTTAAGTTAACTTTTGACAAGATCGGTGTTATCATGATTAATTTTATGTGGATTTCCAATGATATTGAAGTACAAGTTGTATCAAATCTTGGCAACACTGCCCTCATTAAATAACAGCAAATAAAAGGCAGGCCTGAAATAGCAATGACTTAATTTCCCTGAAGTAATGAGTGGCAAATCCAGGGGAGGGGCCTGGGGGCCTGCTCCCCCACCTTATTTTTAGACCAAAATGAGACCCGAAGGGCCGAAAAAATTTTTTTTAAAGGCCAGGTCCCCCCCTTATCTCAGGGTCTGGATGACCGGACCCCTCCCCCCCCCTTTCTGAGGGTCTGGATCCGTCACTGGTAGTTATTATAATATTAAAAAAAGATACTGCATCCAGGGCTATGAACTCATATTTTTGACCTTTTGCCTCCACCCTGAAAAGTTCAACATATATTAATGGCATTATCAGATGATTTCACAAACAAACAAAGAATAACTGGGTACCAAATTATTAGGGTAGCTAGATCACACCAAAAAAGTTTTCAGCAACTTTTCTAGCATGTCTTACCAACTTCAATCTCAAAATTACAGCTTACAACAGAAGAATCCCATTGAAAAGAAATACTGCAGAGCCAAAAGAGGGCACAGATGGGAAAGACCACAGAAGATCAAAACAAACTGCTTTTATTACAAAGTGTTTCATACCGTTATTCAAGAAGATCAGGAACTCAACTCAGAGACCCAAGAAAGTCACATATAGGGTTCTTCAATCTGGCCATCCAGGCTAAAATAATTTGCCCTTATACAGCCCTCTGATCTCAACCTCTTTCTGACTGGCTAATCCTGACTCCACACATGTACTTGAAAAATCCCTGAGTCACAAGGAATGCGTCAGGGGCACAAAAAAAAATTTGAAAAAGGTTATTGGGTAGAGAAACTTTGACTAACATTGGTTGATGATACAAGCAATGCTAATCAATTTATTTGACCTGTTACCTGCTATATTCATTTGAAACCATGCGTTTATTTGGTAAACCAGAAGTTGTATTGGACTTTCTCTTGATGCCAGACAGTTCATCATCTCTCCAAGTTTTCCTCCTGTGACACAGTGACACAACATTAACAAAAACATGTTATACAACAGCTGACCCGCCCTTGAATTTCATTTTTATTTACTTGTCTGTTCTTTGTTTTTGTTTTTGTTTTTTGCAATATTCATTGCTGTGCATCAATCCTTTGGTATTGCACTTGCAGTACATTGTATGTTGCTGTTTCAAGGCCATGTTGCATGTTGTAGGAAAATAATTATTTCTACCCCAGTATATAAGGATGTGGGTGGGTGGGGGGATGACCCTCATCTCTAAGAAAAAGAGATTTAAATTTTTGTATCCTTTTATTTGAATACTCCGAGTCATTTGAGTCATTTCTGGAATTAACTACCTGAATTGAACTACCATTGGTTACTGTACTTCCCGGTTTTCCGTAGCACACAAGTCCTAGTTAACATATTTTAGAGGTTTAGCAATAAAGGACGGCTATTGATCTATCTTTAACTCGTAAACACAAGGTATTTCATTATTTGTACTACCTCTCAAACGTTTCTTGTTCGTCAAACTCAGACCCATATCCAGCTCCTCCATATTGAATCTTGGAAAAAAAAAGAAAATAAAGTTGATCTACCCCCTGTGGTGACAAACGTTACAAAAAAACTTTCCTTACACACGTTTAGGCTTCATATCACAATGAATAAATGTTCACAGATCTTCACAAACTTATCTTACGGTACCTCTGACAAATCTTCGTTTTCGCTCACATTCCCCGCCATATTGTTTTTGGGCCCCAGGAACGCACGGTTTTTACACTGACAAGAAAGAGGACTAGGAACTAGACAAATAGAGTCGTTTGGAGTGCTGTTTATGACCTGAGCATATTATAAAGAAGAGTTTAATTGTTTAATTTCATTACTTTAAAGAGACGATATGGGTTTTTCGAGTTGGTTTCGGGATCTTGGAGTTCCATGGAAAGTTTCCATTAGTGTTCTTGGTGGCGTCGTTGTAGTTTCAAGTGCCTATGGCCTGTACAGATGTTATGTTCACCAAAAAGAACAACCACAAGATAAGACATCTCTCCGCGATGAAACTGTGAGCGAAATTTCCGAGAAAAAGGTGCTTGTGTTAGGAATAGAGGGCAGCGGAAAAAGTACTTTCCTCGCTGCGTTGGCACAGCATGACAGTCCAATAACTTCCGCAGAACGAGAAGGCACAACTCCTACCGAAGGTTTTCATGTTGTTTGCGTTTCAACCGAGGGAGTCAGCCTGAATGTTTGGGAGAGTAAGTATCGTGGTATGCTTGACTATATAGGAGCTAAGCTGAAAACTTATGACAGTAACAAATTATGAGGTCGTATGTACATAAAAGCCCTGTTTACTGGTGAAATGCAAGCATAAGCACCTCGCATTATGTGCTTGTGCTCTGTATGCTTGCATTGGGCTATTGCATTTTAGTAAAATCCAACTAGTGGTCTGTTATCAATGCTGCATTCTGATTGGTTGAGCTACTACTAGGCTATATGTTATAGCCCACTAGTAGCGAAAAGCATGCACTTTTGGTGGCAAAATGAATGTTTGGGAGAGTAAGTACCGTGGTATGCTTGACTATATAGAAGCCAAGCTGAAAACGTATGACATTAACCAATTATAAGGTCGTATGTACATAAAAGCCCTGTTTACTGATGAAATGCAAGCATAAGCACCTTGCATAATGTGCTTGTGCTCTGTATGCTTGCATTGGGCTATTGCATTTTAGTAAAATCCAACTTGTGGTCTATTATCAGTGCTGCATTCTGATTGGTTGAGCTACTACTAGGCTATATGTTATAGCCTACTAGTAGCTAAAAGCATGTGCTTTTGGCAGCAAAAACGGATTAAAGTCTAGATTAAAGTCTCGCCCTCATGGCCCCTGAGTCAATAGCCCATTCAGCCTTCGGCCTCATGGGCTATTGACTCGGAGCCCATTCGGGCTTGAGGAATAATTGTTAAAAATATTGGTACACTCCGTTTTAAGGGCTTAGCTTTTCTTCTTACCCCTGGGCAGGGTTGTTCGAGAGACGGGTTGAATTAAGCCGTTAAGTCCCAATGGTGACCAACATCAATTTTCTCCTAATGATATCCATACATCATCAAGAGAAAAAGTTATGAGAATTAATAAAATGATCACCAAGAGAAAATTCCTTGATCTTTTATCAAATTCTCTCAACACCTTCTTTAAGAAAATATATAGAGATCAGTTTGGAGAATTTGTATGTGGATATTGGGGCTTAAAGGGTTAACCTCAGGCTAGGCCAAACCGGAGGTTAAATTTGTTATCTGCAGGTTTGTTAACTTGGGGTCAAAATTGCGTTATTCAAGGCGCAGTTAGAGGACCAGTTAGTTAACCTCGGGTTTTCTGCGACTAACTCACGGTTAGTATCCCGTAATACCTCTTGGTTTGTTTTCGCCCTAAAACGGCGTCGTTGGAGGATCCCATAAAAAAATAATTTATTTCAGTGCCTCAGAAATTGCTATTTTAACTGAGAACATGGAAGAAAACTTGCATGTTTCACAAAGTAAGTCGACAAACATTGTGACAAACCAACGGCAAAAAAATTTCGACACCAACAACAGTGACACAATGCTGTAGGAGTGGAGAAGAGGTAAGTGGCAAAGTCTGAGGGAAGTGGAAGAATCTTCATTTCTTGTGCAAAGTTTATCGAATTCACAAACTTTCAAACAGAAACAAAATGAACTGGAGGAGGATTGACCTGCTTAAAAACCTGTAGCGAGCTCTTAGTAATCTTCATTTGTAAAATTTTTAATTTTTATCATTTGTCTGAAATATCTGTGAGTCTTTTTTGTTGTCATTTTAATAGTCAGTAAAGCGTGACAACAAGGCAGCCATTTTGTCAGTAGCCTGTGTGGCAGGCGTTTGAAAGGGAAGGGAAAGGGGGTTTTGGGCATTTTGTCAGTTGTTTTCGCCACCCGACCTACTAATTATGAACTGTGAATTGCTTTTATTATTTAGTCGCATTTAACCTAAGGTTAGTTATTTTCCCAACAAATCTGAAGTGAAGGTACTATTAAAAAAAGTATAAATGCAGGGAAGGAAATTAAACCCGCTGTTAAACCCCCTTTCAAACGTTTGAGCTAACTTTTGTTTGAATTGCAACATTTAACCTAAGGTTAGTTATTTAACCTACCTAGCTAGCAGGGTTAAATTAAACCCGCTGTTAAACCCAAGGTTTGAGCTAACTGGTGTTTGAACAACACAACAATCCTGCGATTAAAATTTAACCTTGGTTTAAGCCAATTTAACCCGAGGTTAGTATTTAACCCGCTATCGAACAATCGGGCCCTGAAGCTTAAATAAAATTGCATTCAACCCTGAAGACTTCCATAAAATATGGGTGTACCCCCGGAAGATTATGGGTGATGAGGTCCCATATGGGTGAGGTGTCAAAGTCTTAAATTGATAAGCTGCTCTGAGAAGTTTGGGATTAATATTTTTATTCTTTTTTTTCTTCCAGTTGGAGGGAAATTTCAGTCTTACTGGCCTAATTTTGTCAATGATACCAGTGTTATTGTTTATGCCATTGATAGTAGTGATCCTGCACTATTTGACAAATCAAAGCATGCCTTGTTAGAGATCTTGTCAGATGTGAAACTCAAGGGAGTGCCTCTGGTTCTACTTATTTGCAAGCAAGATCTTAAAGAAGCAAGACCAGTGCAAGAAGTTGTGAAATTCTTGGGAGTTGAGACACTGTCTTCAGACAGGCAAATTGGAGTGGCTGCTTTTCAAATACTTGCCAATGGAGAAGTCAGTGGCCTACAAGAAGCCAAGCATCTGATCTTAAACTTTTGTAAATAATAATATTTATTTATTAATAGTAGATTTTGTATCTTTTTTTTCTTTTTTCTGTATTATTTTCACTCACAACATTTTTATTTTTTCAGCAAATGTTAATTTCATTTAAACCAACCTACATGTAAGTTATTCCCAACATGTTACAAAGACAAGGAGGCATTTATGATATGTTAACAACAATATAACTTAATTTGGTTGATACCTGAAAAAGGGCTTAAGGTACCTTATGACTTTGTAAGTAAGCAGTTTGAATGTTTTATAAGAACAAAATATGTAAGGATATTTACTTAAGTAATTTGGACCTGACAAAAGTTTCACATGCATTGGGCCTGCATGTACATAAAGAAGGATTTAACAGAAATCTGGCAAAAAATGAACAAATGTTTATGTAAATCTTTGTTTATAGTGCAGTTGCTCTGTGATCTATCTCGTTTAAGGGCACACGTCACCACCCAAATAAATATGTGGTCACAAGGAAATTATGGTAAATAACCAGCCAGTGACTTACAGGCATTTCGGAGGAGATAAACTCAGGACTGCTAAGAAACAGTTTGGGGGGAGTGGTCAAAGCAGGACTCATCCCAAGATACCCACCCCAAGGCTTACATTTAACATTCTACACCCCTGGTATTAAATTGGTGACTGGTCATTTCGCTTATGTCCTGTTCACTTACGTCTTAGTCATTTTGCTTATGTGTGTTAGTTCGTTTAGCCAACGTGTTATAAGTGGTCTGGCAAATGTTTTATGAGTCGTTTTGCTAACATCTTGTAAGTCATTCTTTCAATGAGAACAAAATTTCCTTACCGCTGAGCAGTTACGAGGAGCAATGGTTTTTCAGGCACTACTCTCATCATTTCTTACATTGATATTTTTGGAAAGACCACAGCATTTCAAATTTTGCTATTACGTGATACTCGCTGTCCACCTCTTAAGTGTAAAACTCAATATTTACACTAACTTTTTCAACGAAAGTAAAAATATGTAAGCGAAATGACCTAACATTTGAGCAAAAATGACTTAAGATGTAAGTGAACAGGGTGCAGGCGAAACGACCATAAACCCCAAATGTTACAGATTAAAATTTGTTAGCCCAGGAGGAGTATCATATGATCTACAATATGGCAACAACAACAAACAAAAAAGCAAATAAGGAATATTCAGTTTGAAGGTACATGTACTGCCATCTTAACAAAGCACAAGAAGTTGATCACAAAGCTAACAAAGCAAACCATCTCAAGCACGCCTTTTTTGAAGCAGCTTGACTATTAAGACAATTTTCTTCACAATTTTTTTTACAAGACTTTGTTATACTTTTCACGGAGTTCTCTCTTTTCAGCATTGATGAGAAACTTAGTGAGATCCTCTGGCTGTCCTTCTCCAAACTGCTTTGCAAAAGAATAATCTAACAAATCAGCAAGCATCAATTTTGGAAAACTCTGAGCCAGTTTCTCATCAGAATCCTTTCTGAATAATCTTGGATTGATTTCAATGTTGTTTGATAAAACAGCGGGGAAGACCTTGGCTGTATGCTGATCTAAGCTGTAGCCCTCAGGGAGATCATACTTGTGTAGGACAACACACTTGTCTGGAATAGAATGTAGCAAAAAGCTTGGAAGTTCGAGCAGCATTTTCAAGGCTGATCGCTGAGCCATTCGCAGCTCTTCCATGATAAACTTAACACGATTCTCAAGATCAAACGTTCGCATCACTAGCAGTCTAGAACATGGATGCATCAAATGTACTTTCTCCGCTAAGCCGTCATTCTGGACACGAATAACTCCTCTGAGATAATTTAGCCCCCCTCTTTTTTGAGAATCTTCAGCGAGTACAAGAACCGGGGGAGATCTTTCCAAGAGCTTCCTTTTCTGTCGAGCTAATAACCCTGGCGGCTTAAGGTACTCCAGCCTCTGAAGAACAAGTTCACTTCTCAGAAATAACACGTGCGGTTGACGCTTTCGAACATGAACGGCATCTAGTTCTTCATACATAGTCCTCAGCGGTTCCAAACCAGATGCAGGCTCTTCGAGCTTCTCAAAGCATCTATATCTTCGAAACTTCATCTTTTTGATGATGACATCCAGATCGGATTTCGAAGAAGAATAACGCCTTTGGCTGAGACAGTGACCGTGATTACCAGAAAGTACCCGATGGGGGAACCATTTGGCCACTCCGGCAACATTAGCGAAGTGCTTCAGCATGCTCTGGTTTTTGAAGAACGCTGAGTTCTTTTGCACAGCTCTGATGACTACTTCGGGCTTAACTGGAGCAACCCAATCTTTTAAATGGAAGAGAAAACAAAGAAAAAAGTCTTTGATCGCATGCATGCATGCAAGATGGCCGCCGAACTAGAACCAGTCTCCCACTGATAAGCAAGCTTTTCCTTCATGTACTGACTACTGAAATGTCTCCAAATGTCTACGTGAAATGATAAACGCTCACGGTATGTATTCCCATTTTATTGGTTAGTTTAATAAAGCTCGCGTTAAAACCGGCCAAAACATCACCAAAAATTTGTATGGTAAACATTATGTTCATAAACCAGCTAGTCAGTTATCTTCTTCTCTTCCTCTCGTTCTTGGTTCTTTATATTTTGGCTGATTTGATCTCTTTTCTAAAGATCTAACGTTTACAACTAGCAGGATCTTCATCCACGGTTTTTGCAGTTAATTTAATCCTTTATTAATAAGTTATCTTTGCTGTCAAAGAGGACATCATAATGTTTTCTGTCACTCTTATTTTTTCAGCATCCGGCTTGCGTCACGAGTTAATTTTGTGTAGCCTGGAGGAAGGGTGCGGCTGTACACAGGCTAGTTTTTGAGCGACTCCCGTCAACTGAAAGTGGACTTTAATTTTTGCAATTTTGGGGCGTGATCTTGACCAAATTTTCGGACAAATCGTCTATTTGAAAGAAAAGACATGTTTAGGGCATATACCTATTAAGCTATTCCTTCGTGATATCCGGGGGGTACTCCATATATCCTTGGGTGGGGAGATGCGGCCCAGCCCCTCATACGTATACCCTGACCCTGTTTAAGACAAAAATCGCTGATTTTCCTACCCCGTTTAAGAGAGAATTCCGATTTTTGATACCTGTTTAAGACATTTATTCCGAAACCACACCCTGTGTAAGACAATAATAAATAAAAATTTTGCTGTAGTTTAGTTCGTAGAACATACGCGCAGGCTGTCTATCGTCCAAAAAAAGATAAACCTTTTAAAGCCAAAATTGATAAAATCGATACCCTGATTAAGACGAAAAAGATAGAGTCGATACCCTGTTTAAGACAAAAATCCCCAAAAACATACCCTGGCTGGCCGCACGTCCCCATTAAGCCCTTATAAAGGAGTACCCCCCCGTAACATCTCAACCGCGAGTAACTTGAGGAAACAAGACCAAAGTGGTGCAAGGGACGTGGAAATCTCGACCCCAGACAGAATGTGTAAGCAGTGGGGTCGAACATGGGGACGTAGTAACACCTGCACACGATTTTCAATACAGCCCTCGGGTTTTATGGCTGCGAATGCGCAATAAAGAAGAGCTATAACAACAGCAGCAACAACAGCGGAAAAATTGATTTTGTTGTAATATATGTTTGGGTCATGCTTCCCTATTTATGTTCGAGATCAGAGTTTCACCCTTTTTCTATCCCTTCATTTCCATAATTTACATTAAAGTGATTTCTCAGTGATCAGGACGTAGGGGTGCAGAACTTTTCAAAATCTCTTAGGCTACGTGCAAACGGGCGCCTTATCTACCAACAATGTTGGGAGTTGTAAGCCAACAATGTTGCATCCGTTTGCACGGGGCTAAAAGTTTGACCGGTTTCAGACTTTGCGCAACAACACGCAACAACATCCAACAACATGCAACAGGGTGTGCAAATGGACGCAACATGTAACATCCAACAATGTTGAGAGTTGTTAGTCAGCAATGTTGCGTCCGTTTGCACGCAGTCTCATAGAAAATTATCGAAGATATTGATGTCCCTCAACTCAAGAGAAGGAATTCCAAAAGCTTGCTGTGAAAAGGTTCTTAAATTTGACAGTCTGGTAGTTAAAAATGACCTTGGCTACTTGGCCTCTGACTGATGAATTGAAACATCACTTTTCTTTCTACTCTCAGTTTTTTGCTCGAGACAATAAGGCTGCATGCAAACAGACGCACCATTGGTGTGTAACAACTCCCAGCATTAATTGTTGGATGTTACATGTTGCGTCCGTTTGCACACCCTGTTGCATGTTGTTGCGCAAAGTTTGAAACCGGTCAAACTTTTCAGCCAACAACTCCCAACATTTCTTTTGTTCCGTGATCGCCGAAGCGCAGCGCAACAATGTTGGATCCGTTTGCACAGCTCTTCCAACATTGTTGGGGCTACGCACGCTCATTACGCATGGTTTACAAAGACTTATGGGTTGTATCCTTCCCACGATGTACTGCAGGTCCCAACATTGTTGGGAGTTGTTGCATCCGTTTGCACACCACTGCCAACACGCACGCACGCAACAATGTTGGGAGTTGTTGCGTCCGTTTGCACGCAGCCTAAGCGAGCAGGAATGAATTGCAGCATTTGCATGCCCCACAACCTTGTCCCCAGGGCGCTTTTCCTTTGCTTTGGAGGTGGGGCCACCTCCAAAGCCATGGAAAAGCGCCCTGGGGTCGAGGTTGCATGTCCTAGCCAAAAGGAGAACAACAGTAGGAATGGCGCCGTATGCATTGTGGCGAAATGTCCGCCATCATGTGACCTGAAGCCAAGAAACTGTAAACACGCGGACGACATCACCAGTATTTTGATCACTGAACGACATTTTTTTGCTTGTTTTGCATAAGCCTGTTGGTTAACCTGCAGGGGCGTACCCAGGAATTTTTGATGGCGCGGGAAATACTGCTTAGCGAGCAGAGGCGAACAGATCATAGGGGGGAAACCAAGAACAATAATATTTTTGAATATCCCTGGAATTTAGTTTAGTGTCAAATGCAACGCGCGTTTCATTAAAAAATCAGCCAGCTAAAAAACGATATACGATCCTGTCGATGTACGAATTTCAGTCTCAAACAAGCGTCAGGTCCTATAGGGGGTATCCGCACCCCGGACCATCCCCCTGTATCTGCTGATGATCTATCCGGGTGGCTTATATCTCCATCATGAAATGCAGGTGATCAACGAACACAGGACTGCTAAGGATTGCAGAGGTAATAACAAGTTTAACAACCACACGAGTATATATTTTGCAGTTTTGGCATAGTGTTTGCTGATTTTGAGACACAGAAAATTAGGGAGGGTTTTGACATCGAATTCCAATCATGAATTGTGTTTTAGTAAAGCAGGCCTTACTATTCCGCAGAATTTACTAACGCTTTTTCTTGATTGAGTAGAATCCACTGATGTTTAAGCCTGCGAATACAGCCATCTCTTCTCGCTTCTCGCACAAGTGTCCCTAGCGGAGTGGAGCGAGGAAAACTGGCTGTATTCGGAGCTTACTGATCTATATAATTATGTTGTCTCCCGTCACTGGGGCAGATCTACGGGGAGGGTGAAGGGGGTGCGCACCCCCCTAAGACGACCTGCGGCTTTCTAATACAACCGGTATAGAGTACCGAAGTGTGACGTCATAGAAAATGAAATTTGTGAAATTATGGGATTTGTTAAGCTATTCTGAAAGAACAACGTCCAAGACGCCTACTCGCCAAAAATTAGCAATTTGGGGCAAATTGTTTATTACAATGCCGATGACTCCATACAAATCCTTCTAAATCTTACCTGGTTCGTCACAGCAGAACTGGGCTAATATCTCAGAGACAATTTGGCCCGAATTGCTAATTTTTGGCGAGTAGGCGTCTTGGACGTTGTTCTTTCAGAATATCTTAACAAATCCCATAATTTCACAAATTTCATTTTTATGACGTCATCACTTCGGTACTCTATTCTGCAAAAAAAAACTATGTGGTTTATTGTTGTTGAAGTAAAACATGAGATGAGGTTGAAGAATTTATGTTAAACGCCGTAAAAATGGTAGTTTGGCACCTCACGTCACCAGTCAGTTACGCCATTCCTTAGTGGTTTACTCGCTCTTAAGAAAAATCCTGGATTCGCCCCTGCGTCACTCTCATTTTTTCTTTTACTAAAGGGCAAGCCAGCTAGCGAGCAAGCTCTTCTGATGATCGCTGGTTACCAAACCCGGCTTGTCTCATTTGCTGGCATCCACGAATCAAACATTTATCTATTCTCACGTGACACCTCGTGACCGTCCTCTGCCTCCTTGAGAAACCACGTCCGTTGCACCACGTTTAGTGATGTTCCATGCACGTGGTAGCTATAGTAAAGAGCACGATTTTTAATGTTAGCAGCAGCAGCGGAAGCAATAAAGCAAGTAAACTGACACGCTTCCCCAATTAATTTATTATTTCACCATTTTTTACCCCTTCATTTTAGTGATATACTTTCAGTTTACGTTGTTTGCTTATGGCAAAGATCCCGTGGTGCACATCTGTTCAAAATCTCGTAGTATCTTAAATTTTATATCTTAGATCTTAAATCTTAGTATTTCACCATTTTTTACCCCTTCATTTTAGTGATATACTTTCAGTTTACATTAGGGCCATTTATACGAGGAAAAATAAGACGCGTCTTAAATAAGACGCGAACTTTCCGTATAAACGGCACATTTCGGCTAAAATAAGACGCGGCTTAGATAAGACGCGTCTTAGATAAGACGCGTCTTATTAGATAAGACATGCTCGTATAAATGGTACAGTTCGCGTCTTATTTAAGACGCGTCTTACATAAGACGCGTCTTATTTTTCCTCGTATAAATGGCCCTATTGTTTGCTGATGGCACAGATCCCGTGGTGCACATCTTTTCAAAATCTCGTATCTAAGCTGAGGTTGCTGATACCAGTAGTAATAATAATAATAATAATAATAATAATAATAACAATAATAATAATAATAATAATAATAATAATTAAAATCTTTATTACAAAACCTCAATTAAAATCCTATTTACAATCAACCTGCTGTTACAAAAAATCTAATTAATTCATCAAAACACTATCTACAATTCCATCCGTTACAAAAGAAATTCTCGGCCTTCATTAGAGAACAAAAACAATCCTATATATAATAAGTGAAGAAAGAAACTATTCATTTACAAATTCTAAAAAATAGAAGTAACTTAACCTTACATAAAAGAAGAGGAAATAGATATAATTAATAATAAAAGTTCAAAATTCTATAAAATAAAGAATTCCATTATGCAGAGATATTAAGATCATACAATCGAATTATACTAATGACGGCTAAACCAGTGTCCATAAAAAGCCCTAAGTATAAAAGCATATAGACACGTATTTCAGATATCCGCACTAGCGACATTTATTTTACAGTCTAATGATTGCTCTATCTTGCTACGAAACGGCGTTCGCGAACCTCTGACGCATGCATGTACCGATCTTAAGAGTTCAAACGAGATCTGTGTCCTGAGCCAAGTGATTACAACATGATAAGGCTCGGTGTCTTTCTGAGCTATCTTGTCTGCGAGATGCTTTAAGAACCGCTGACACTCGTTTCCCATTCCGCCATTGCTTCCAAACACTAAAGGCGTAAACGAACCCATTTCTACATCTAACACCCGCTGCTGGTACTTGCGCTTCTTCTCTTCTTCTTGCTCTTTGAACACTTCCGATGTTGGCTTGCTCTGGTAACACTTGGAGTTGACGTGCGTAACTCTAACATCAAAAAATGCCGTAACTCCTCTTGCCTAGAAACCTCCCGCTTTGATGTCCAACCTTGCCTCAGAACTTGTAACAGCGCTCCTCAAATGAAATCGCTCGTTGTCCAGGGGTTGAAGGCGTGGTGCGATTTCGACATTATTGCAGATCTTGTCGACGAATATCGTTAACAAGTTCCGCACACCGTCATGTCTCTGCGCTACAACCCTCCCCCCCCTTTTTACAAGAGAGGGCGTGACTAACGGTGAATTTATCCCCACATATGCAATGACTTATAATAATAATAATAATAATAATAATAGGCTTGATTTAAAGAGGGTAAAACACTTAACAGTAGCCCTAAGACACTGATGACTCTGTGGCCCTCAAAACAAATTACAAATATAGATTCTACAGCTAAAAACTATAAACTATACTATTTTCAAAGATAATTTAGGATAAAAATATAAAAGATAATTTCTAAAAAGACATTTTTACTAAGATAGATAAAAGGAACATAAAACGTATATACAATTACAGTCTAAGGAGGATCGCAGCCTTTTGTTCAGCTAGAAAGGATTTAAAAACGTTATGCTTAAAACTTGCTAGCGAGCCATTATTTCTTATATTGGCATTCATGCAATTCCAGTCCTTTATAGTCCTAATAGTGAAAGTACGACCTCCTTCTGTTTTTCGTTTATACTTGGGGCACACCAGATTTATGTTTGAATGTCTAGTGGCTCGATTATGAATTTCTGAATTTCTGACTAATAGACTATTCAAATAAATAGGCGTAGATTGTGGACCCGCTTATACACTAGTGCGCATCTCTTTATTAGAGATTGTTTAGTAAAAGGGAGCCAGTTTAGGTTATTGAATAATACCACTGATGGTGTAAGTCTTTCAGCATCAAGTATAATGCGTGCCGCTCTTTTTTGAAGTTTCAAAATACTTTGAAGATGTTCGACATTGCAGCTGTCCCATATATATCATGCTCCCATACAGGAGGGTGGGCTTTATAACACCATTGTAATAGGTTTCCCTTTGACGTTGCTTAAGAAACGGGCTAATATGCTTCAAAAGTCCTATGCGTTTGGAAAGTTTCTTACATAATTCATCAATGTGTGATTCGTAGTTCATTTGGCTGTCTATAACTACTCCTAAAATCTTATGAGAAGAGACTTGTTCAATAACAGAGTCATCAATCTTGACATCTAAGCGTAGGGGTGTGTCTCTTAGCAGGAATGCGCTTTCCGTGCACTAAAAGGGATTTCGTTTTTTTCTTGTTGATGAACATTTTGTTGCAAGACGCCCATCTCTGAACCGCATCAAGATCGGAATTTAAACGTTGGGTCATCGAGCATAGCTCCGAGAAATGCGCACTTGCGGTTATTGTAGTGTCGTCAGCGTAAATGTCCACAGTTGAATTTGTTAGATGTAATGAAATGTCATTCACAAATAACAAAAACAGTGCGGGACCTAAGACAGACCTGTCGAGGATACTGATGTGTGGAGATATCTACTAGAAGCTCTCAACTCAAGTGAAGAATTTCCCAAAGTTTGCTGTGAAAAGGTACTTAACGCTGGTAGTTGAAATCGACCCTGCTTCCTTGGCCTGTGCTTAGTGAATCGATCGCAGAAACATTAATTTTGTTTCTACCCTCAGTTTTTCGCTGAAGACAATAAACAACCAGGGATGAATTGCAGCATTTGCATGCGCCAGCCAAAAGAAGAACAACTGGAAAACATTGGGGATGTCTTCATAAGCATTGGTTTGAAACACTGACATCATGTGACCTACATGCAAAGGAAGCCAACAAATTGTAAACACACTGACAGCTGTCACCAGCATTTTGATGACTGAACGACGTTTTTTTGCTTGTTTTGCATAAGCCTGTTGGTTAACATGTCCGGGTGGTTTATGTCTCCATAAAAAGCAGGCGATCAACGAATATAGGACCGTCATGATGGTCAAAGGGATTGCATAGGTAACAACAAGTTTAAACATCAGTTCGGCTTTGAAAAGAATGTGAGATATTTCAGGGAAATCATGCCACTCTTCGATGCACTCAACAATTCCATCTTCCGTCTCCCAGGTTTTAAACGTGTACAGCTGGCCACTGAAAATCACACTGAAACACAACCACAAACCAAAGACTGAACGCACCACTGCTCTAGAAGACATGGGTCTCCGTCGGACGTACACAATAGCCAGAAATCTTTCCACGGCAATCACTGTCAGCGTCCAGATAGCAACACTAATAGAGATATTCAAGATGAATGGTATGAGCTTGCAAAGAAGGTTTCCCACTATTCCAGGTATCCATCGCTTTCCAGCTATGAAGAACGACATGGTAAAGCTGGAAGCCGTTAACACATCCAATACGTCAGCTACAGCCGTGTTGGCCAAAAGCCAGTTGAACGGGTTTTGGCGAATGTCCCTGCGAGTTCGCACAAGGTGAATGACAAGCGAATTGCCAGCCAATGAAAGCATGATAATGACGATATAAGCAGCAACGAAGATCATGTTGGTGACGTTGTCTTCTTCCTGGTTACCGCCGTTATTTCCTTCGTTTTTTTGACATTCAGGAATGGTACAATTTTCTGTTTGATTCAAGGCGTCCATTTCCCGCTGAAAAATAAATAGAAAAAGAGCTTTATAAACGCCATCAATCCTCGGAGGGATGTGAAGAGTGGGCCGGGTGCACAATAATTTGCGTACATCGAGAATGAATCAAACCAGTAACGACTTTTTTACAGGCGCGTTTATTGCACAGCTAGATTATTAACATTTAGTCTCCCGCAAGGACTATTTTAAGTGTCATTGTCTGAGAAAGTGTTCCAGGGGCCAAAAGTTGTGGTCAACCAATTTGGCTGAAACTTGGCACAGAAATTGGGTATCATGAGATATTTCAAAAGCCACTTTGGCGCACTTCTCTGAGTTTTAGTTTTGGAGTTACAGGGGGGATCTCATTTTTTGCCCTTTGAGCACCAAAAATCCAGCCTTCCAGGGGGCATTTTGAAAGTGTGATAAGACCCCACTGGTACATTGTGCTGCCAAATGAATTTGACGATGAACTCTACTATAATAGAGCTTTCAGTTCATGCATGTAACTTTGTCCTCAAGGTATTGTACAGAGAGGAGCCTGGGGCTAGAGTTTGGCCAAAATTGATGTTAAAATTACAACCCAAAATAGCCATTTTTCAAAATTACACTATATTCACCTGCCTTCTTGCATAACTTCCAAACCTATACCACTGTTTACTTTACTCACCCAGTTATCAAAATCAGTTGAGAAAAATTTGGCTTATTTCGGTTTATTGAATTTTTGGAACAAACACTTCATGCCCCTCTAAGGTGATGCAAAATGGAATTTTGAGCCTACTTCAGGCCATAAACAAACCAAATTGTTGACAAGAAGCCCTTATTCTGTATTTGGTAAGTGAAAATGAATTGTCAAAGCCAAATCAGTTTCGTTGTTTAGAAATACACCGATTCTTACCTTAAAATTGATCTAAAACGGGCCTCTGATTAGCGCAACAAACACATAATTTAGCAAAACAAAGGTGATTTTATTCTTTGAAAACCTAGTAACCACCATAGAACACAAATGATGATGTCCTGATGTACATATAACAATCTTTTTACAAGATGCTTAAATTTTTCTTTGATTTATAGTCAGTTTCACGTCATATTTCCAAGCATTACTCCAAGGATGGGAAGTCTCCATATTTTGTCAGGCCCATTTTTTTAATATTTTTACCAGATAAATTTAGCTTATCAAAAGGTTAGTTAACATATAATCTTCGTCTGACCTTGTAATAGCCTGAATAGTTGTTTTAAATACCCATCAGCAAAGGAGATGACCATACATACGTAGATTACACAGACATATACGAGCTTCAGTGAGCACTAGTATCGAGGTGAACTGTGATTTTCCAAGGTCTTTAGAGCTAAAAAAATGAAACCATCCATCCACGGTTAGGAGAGCTGGATAACAAAAAGCTTGTTTTGCTTTTATAAAGAAAATAACCCAAACAAAGCCTTGCACTGAGATGGTGCACTTGTTATTACATCAAGTTAGCTGGCCCGCCATTTTGGACTTGAAGAGTGTGGGGACTGGACCGAGTTCCCGTCCAATCCTTCTCCCCTTTCGCGGGAATTTTTTCTGTTTCGCTGTGGCTATATGGCCGGTAACCGGTCAAGGTTTTCAAAATACTAAATGGCCGGCAGTTCTATACTCTCAGTAAATTTCACAAAATCGAAAGATTCCAGCTAATCTAAACTATCATATGTCGATTTAGAAAAGTCAAGCGATCCTGAAATGCTTTACAGATCTCTAGTCTAGTGTTTGGTTTGCGCTGGGCTCAGAGGACGAAATCACGTTTTGTGACACTTAGAAATTTTTTCAGCTCGACTGCCGGTCAAGGTTTTCAAAACTCTAAATGGCCGGCAGTTATATATTCTTAGTAAATTTCACAAAATCGAAAGATTCCAGCTAATGTAAACTATCATACGTCGATTTAGAAAAGTCAAGCGATCCTGAAATGCTGTACAGATCTCAAGTCTAATGTTTGGCTTACGCTGAACCATGTTTTGTGACAGTTTTCAGCTCGACTGCCGGTCAAGGTTTTCAAAATACTAAATGACCGGCAGTCCGTTATTCTCAGTAAATTTCACAAAATCGAAAGGTTCCAGCTAATCTAAACTATCATATGTCGATTTAGAAAAGTTAAGCGATCCTGAAATGCTTTACAGATCTTAAGCCTAGTGTTTGGTTTACGCTGGGCTCAGAGGAGGAAATCACGGCAGTCCTATATTCTCAGTAAATTTCACAAAATCGAAAAATTCCAGCTAATCTAAACTACAACATGTCGTGATCCTGATCAAACCAGCCAGTTTTGTGGGATTTCTATATCATATTTTTGCTGGTCGCGAGTCTTTGGATGTTCGTTATTGTTTTCTGTCCAAAGCGGGGCGTGACAGGCACGATAAAAACAGATAAAAACCTGGCATGACTGGGTGTGACGATAGTAACCTCTGTGAGTCGCGGAAAAGAGATGTCGGGACACTTTTATACTTATGGCTGGTTTTTTTCGATTTTGTGAAATTTACTGAGAATATAGAACTGCCGGCCATTTAGTGTTTTGAAAACCTTGACCGGCAGTCGAGCTGAAAAAATTTCTAAGTGTCACAAAACATGATTTCCTCCCGGCATAGTAAATCGAACCCAATCGAACTAAATTTCAATCGAACTCAATCGAACTCAATCGGTGGATTGAGTTCGATTGAGTTCGGCAATCGAACGAAATCGAACTCACCGAAAAGAAAAAACATCAATCGAACCCAATCGAACGTTCGATTTTCGAACTCGTGACTTATATAAAAAAGACGTTGAAAATCCATTACCAGATCTTAGAAGCTCGAGTTACTTCAGCCCTGAGTGTAGCGCACGTGTTTTTCGTAAACGAAGAAATTCCGCAGAAATGGCTTCAGATGCGTTGTGGATCGTAAGCTTCAAATGTATAGTCAAAGGCAATAAAAGGGGGTGGTAGGCCTACACGACTTTTACCTCATGCCAAAATGCTGCTTATTCCAATAAAGTTGTTTTTATCTGCTGGGTAGATTATGCTCTGGAAGGTTCTGCATTTCACTGAGCAAATGTGGTTTTAGCCGCATGTTTCACACTGAGAGGGCATGACATATATATCTGTATATATCGATTGACTGTAGTTATTGTTTTCTGGTCGGCAGGATTTGCCCTCTGATGCAAGCGCATTTTCTTTGACCTCTTTTGAAGCGTAAAGCTTTTTTATTACGGCTGAATAAGGGTTCCAATTTTCTCCAAAGTGCCTTCTGGATCTGATCTAAGCGATTTTCTTTAGTCCGTGAGTGTAATGTTTTTCTGCAATGCTGTATCACGCTGGGCCCAGCTCGTCAGTTTTCTTTTCACTGAAAGTGTGGTGTTCCCCACGCAGTCATCTCTTTGAAAAGTGCCAGTAATATTACAATAAGAAATTAAACTACTCATAAGGAAACGAAACCACAGCTACCTTTGTCACGACTACTCGTATTCAAACTTGTGCTTATGTTAACGTTATAATCACAGACAAGAGCGCAGCTGGGGCCTACATTTTGACTCTAAGTACAATCAATGAAAGGAGAGTCATCCTATAATCCCTCGAACGAAATCCATTTAATTGTGTTCAAACCGAACTCAATCGAACACAATCAGACGGATTGAGTTCGATTTGTTCGATTGAATTCGATTTGTTCGGAAATCGAACTCACTGAAAGTGTGGTGTTCGATTTCGTTCGATTGCCGAACTCAATCGAACTCAATCCACAGATTGAATTCGATTGAGTTCGATTGAGTTCGATTTTCGAACGTTCGATTTACTATGCCGGGTTTCCTCCTCTGAGCCCAGCGCAAACCAAACACTAGACTTGAGATCTGTAAAGTATTTCAAGATCGCTTGACTTTTCTAAATCGACATATGATAGTTTAGATTAGCTGGAATCTTTCGATTTTGTGAAATTTACTGAGAGTATAGAACTGCTGGCCATTTAGTATTTTGAAAACCTTGACCGGTTACCGGCCATATAGCCATAGCGTTTCTGTTTTTCATCAGGTGTGTTCGAAATTCCAGAAAGTGATGTGTTTCAGGATAATTTTTCGATGGCACTTTATTCCTTTGGAGGGGTAAATGACCAGTGCGGTCCCACGTCATGGGCTGTGAAAGAAACAGGAATGTTTCCTCTGTTGTCTTGCGATAGTGACATGACTGCATGGTTAAAGCATAAGTTGAAGGGTTCAGGTGTGTCCGGAGAAGAAGAGGAAGAACTGGTGATGCCAAAGGTACAGGTGATTCAAAATATCAGTTAGGGATCATATACGCGCACAAATGGCATTTATCGTGATCTAGGGGACTCTTCTGACTGAAGAGAGATTCAGAGACGAAGATATATAATTTACGATGTTGTCGTCTCAAATTGTTTGTTTATGGTTGATTGTTTCCCATGTTAATATCCTGGGTCCTTAGGAAGAGCACTAGACATTCATCAAATTTGTCCAAAAAAAAAAATTACGATAAGAATAACTTGAAGGCTGTTTTTTGTCTGCTCGAGCTGTTTGTTTACATTAAGGTTGTCACGTGCACACGCTTATCATGCAATGCACAATTCAGTTACCGGTTTCCATTATTTACCCTTTTCGTCAAAGGCCTTTGCAAACATGCTGCATCTAAGTTTTTCGACGAAATTGACATTTTCAGGGAGAAAATGTCACTAAAACGTCGTCGCAAAATCGACCGAATTAGTCGATATTATTGGATTTGCTTGGAATAAAGCATAGGCAATGAACACACATATGTCGTACTTGAATGGGAACTGACTCTGAATCGTTCTGGAAGAGCACGGAAGGTTTGTGTATATTTGTAGAAAAAATTGTTTCATTATTTAATTAAAAAATTATTTAAAATAATGTTAACTATTCACTTTGAAGAATAATGAAAAAATATACCTAAATAAGAGTGTTATCTGCTAAAACGCTCTAAAATTCCCTAAAAAAACTCATAAAATTTTTATTCTTTTTTGATAGCCAGGGCCTCTTTTGGTGAATAACCGCTGATTAGTTGTAGTGTAGATGACTCTGTCAACTGCTGATTTGTTGTGCTCAGTGAACAGTACTCTAGACACTGTTGTAGCATGTGGGTGGACTAAGCCCTCTCTTGGTTGGTAGCAATACAGAAAAATAAAAACGTTTTTCAACGTTTCTGCCTGTGAAATGTTGCTGTTCATTATTCTCCTATATATACTGCTATTTAAGTTCTAGTATTTGTCAATTTTTTTCTAATATTCTTGAGATTTTTTAAAATTTTTTTTCGTGTCTAAAATTCCCAAAACAATTCCTGCGGAATTATGCAGCTAAGCCTATTCTACGTTGACTTGTCTTTGACGAAACAGGCAAATAAAGGAGACCGGTGGAGTTTCAATGCAAGCTGGCTCGGCTCGAATTGTGCATTGCCAAACGTGACAAGCTGAATGTAAAGAAACAGCTCGAGCAGGCGAAAAACAGCCTTCAAGTTATTTCTATTATTGTTATTGTTATTTTTTATATATATGTATAAAGATATTGCTGCGATGAGTTTGTTGAATGTTTAGTGCTCTTCGTAAGGACCCAGGAAATGAACATGTGAATCAATCAACTATGTGAGCAAACAATTTGAGACGATAACATCGTAAATTATATATCATTGTCTTTCTTCAAGCAAAAGAGTCCCGTAAACTGCGATAAAAATCATTTGTGCGCGTGTATGATCCCTAACTGATCTTTTGAATCACCTGTAGCTTTGGTATCACCAGTTCTTCCTCTTCTTCCCCGGACACACCTGAACCCTTCTACTTGTGCTTTAACTATGCAGTCATGTCACTACCGCAAGACAACAAGGGAAGTATTCCTGTTTCTTGCACAGCCCATGACGTGACACTGCACTGGTCATTTAACCCTTCAAAGGAATAAAGTGCCATCGAAAAATTATCTTGAAACACATCACTTTCTAGAATTTCGAACTCACCTGATGGAAAACAGAAAAAATTCCCGCGAAACGGGAGAAGGATTGGACGGGAACTCGGTCCAGTCCCCACACTCTTCAAGTCCAAAATGGCGGGCCAGCTAACTTGATGTAATAACAAGTGCATCATCTCAATGCGAGGCTTTGTTTGGGTTATTTTCTTTATAAAAGCAAAACAAGCTTTTTGTTATCCAGCTCTCCTAACCGTGGATGGATGGTTTCATTTTTTTAGCTCTAAAGGACTCGGAAAATCACAGTTCACCTCGATACTGCTCACTGAAGCTCGTATATGTCTGTGTAATCTACGTATGTATGGTCATGCTCCTTTGCTGATGGGTATTTAAAACAACTATTCAGGCTATTACAAGGTCAGACGAAGATTACATGTTAACGAACCTTTTGATAAGGTAAATTTATCTGGTAAAAATATTAAAAAAATGGGCCTGACAAAATATGGAGACTTCCCATCCTTGGAGTAATGCTTGGAAATATGACGTGAAACTGACTATAAATCAAAGAAAAATTTAAGCATCTTGTAAAAAGATTGTTATATGTACATCAGAACATCATCATTTGTGTTCTATGGTGGTTACTAGGTTTTTCAAGGGATAAAATCACCTTTGTTTTGCTAAATTATGTGTTTGTTGCGCTAATCGGAGGCCTGTTTTAGATCAATTTTAAGGTAAGAATCGGTGTTATTTCTAAACAACGAAACTGATTTGGCTTTGACAATTCATTTTCACTTACCAAATACAGAATAAGGGCTTCTTGTCAACAACTTGGTTTGTTTATGGCCTGAATTAGGCTCAAAATTCCATTTTGCATCACCTTAGAGGGGCATGAAGTGTTTGTTCCAAAAATTCAATAAACCATAATAAGCCAAATTTTTCTCAACTGATTTTGATAACTGGGTGACTAAAGTAAACAGTGGTATAGGTTTGGAAGTTATGCAAGAAGGCAGGTGAATATAGTGTAATTTTGAAAAATGGCTATTTTGGGTTGTAATTTTAACATCAATTTTGGCCAAACTCTAGCCCCAGGCTCCTCTCTGTACAATACCTTGAGGACAAAGTTACATGCATGAACTGAAAGCTCTATTATAGTAGAGTTCATCGTCAAATTCATTTGGCAGCACAATGTACCAGTGGGGTCTTATCACACTTTCAAAATGCCCCCTGGAAGGCTGGATTTTTGTTGCTCAAAGGGCAAAAATGAGATCCCCCCTGTAACTCCAAAACTAAAACTCAGAGAAGTGAGCCAAAGTGGCTTTTGAAATATCTCATTATACCCAACCTCTGTGCCAAGTTTCAGCCAAATTGGTTGACCACAACTTTTGGCCCCTGGAACACTTTCTCAGACAATGACACTTAAATGAAAGTAGAGTAATGAAGATTGAGGCCGGACATGCACATTATAATGTTTCAAGATACCTTGAGGAACCTTATAGAGGGGTAGGATAAAATATTTCTTAAGAGCACATGTTATTTTGCCAAATTGTGCCTTTTAAAAGACTCATCATAGTTTATTCTACCAGAAAAACGGATTTTGGGAATCAAAGCCAACGCCTTAACAAAATAAAGATATTATCTTCAGTTGTGTAAAATTAGATACAAAAAACTATGCATCGTTTTAATAGCGAATTAGCAAAAACTAGTTATCTTGAATAAGCCAAGAGGGACTGTCCGAAGCTGGTTCCAGTCTGGGCAAAACATGAAACGAAAAACATCCTTTCCCGGGGGATGGACTCCGCATATGAAAGTGGTGGGGATGCCCGTCGTCTCGCTTAGGGGTGTAAATTTCGGATTTTGGTCTCACTTAGGGTGTTCTGGGCAAAACGCCATCATATTTAGCCGTGAAGGTCTTGTTTAGGGTTGCACGGGAAAAAATATAAAAATATATATATTGTCTGTGTTTTAACATGGTCTCTTTTAGGGGTCAAAAAAGCTTGGGCCACGTTCAGATCGGTCTCCTTTAGGGGTTTAATTCAAAATTTCCCACGAGCATCCCCACCCCTTTCATATGCGGAGTCCCCCCGGGCATCCTTTCAACTTCATTAAAACCTCTCCATGAGGACTCCTCACTATAACGGACTGTTCCTTTTGGTCCCAAAGCTACAAAAACTCATGCAATTTCCACCTCTGGAACTAGTAATAACAAAATATTAGGGCCGCCATTATGACCCACAAGCCTTAGAAACGTGCACGATGGTCATCTGAATTGACCGATTGCACAATATAAAACAAACAAAGTGTTGACAACATAGTGCAGGACCGAAGGTCGGGAACCATGAGAAACCCCTGGGACTTATTACTCGCACGTCATCTCGCTAATTCATATGACATTTTATTCCGACAGGAGCAATTAACACAATAAAAATATGCTTTTGTCCCCAAACGATAACCGGAACCTCCGTAAATACATCATCGATTTCATTTTAAAAATTTCAAATGTCTTTTTAAACAGAGTAACTTCAGAACACTAGGCCACTTTACTTAAATTTTTTTACATTGTGTGGGCCGCACCGAAACGTTTCTTTCTAACTACCACGTAAAATAATAAAATCAAAACCAAACCAAAGTCTCCAGGTGGTTAAAAGCAAAAGGACGCGCGCGAGGAGAACGCGAGACCACAAAGATATTGTTTTCGAAATGTAACCGCATTAGCAGAGATTCTCCGTGAACGGATCGCAACAGTATTGTTCTAAATAAATATCAAAAAGAAAAAGAAAAGGGTTCTTCCGAATAAACGGTTTCGTGCTGTGCTTTCCAGTTTCCAGGACGTATTAAAAGTGCCAGAAATAGGAATTTTGCTACGCGTGTTTTATTTGTGACGAGAAAACAAGTCTTTTACTAATATATGCCGAAAAATATAATTGGCGGAGGGTCTCCTACAAGAAAATGTCCTATTAAAAAACACTCTAAGACACACATATAGCTTTTGTAGCTTGTAAACCCCTTAATTTTCCAGTTATTGCGCAAGTGATTTCATAATACCTTGGTGTCTAACTCACAGAATCACAGGCGTGCCACCTAGTGTTTCTGTTGCATGATAAAACTTGCACTTAGGAGTTTAGAACACCATGGCATTATTAACAATAAAACTCGCTTACTCAAGCTAAATCATATTAACCTTTAAATTTCCACTCGATGCGCAAGTGATTTCATAATAAGATAATACCGTGGTGTCTAAACTCACAGAATCACGGGCGCGCCACCTAGTGTTTCTGTTGCTTTAAAAATCGCACTTAGGAGTTTAGAACACCATGGCATTACAATAAAACTCGCTTACTCAAGCTAAAACATATTAGACATATTAACCCTTAATTTTCTTTTGTGCGCAAGTGATTTCATAATACCGTGGTGTCTAACGCACAGAATCACGGGCGTGCCACCTTGTTTTTCTGTTGCTTTGAAACTCGCACTAAGGAGTTTAGAACATTACAATAAAACTCGCTCACCTGTGCTAAAACATATTAACTTTTAACAGGGGCACCCAACGAGAATATAATTCAAAACCACTTAAACATAGCATTGTTAAACGTATTTTAGTATTTAAACGGTAGATATAGGCATATTTTTATCCCCTAAAAATTTTTCATCTGTTCAGATTTCCTGGCTGGAAGTCTAGTGATTCGAAAATTATAGGAATCAAAACTTGCCTTTTCGAAAATTTCAGCCAGAAAAAAGGCTCCCGAAAATTGTAGGTGACCTTTTTAGGGCAAAAATCCGTTAAAAATGGGCAATTATACAATTTTTTTAGATGTTCGAAAATCCTAGGAGAGGCAGACTAGCAAGAAATTTTGCAAAAAATGTTCCGAAACTTCTAGATCTCAAATCGTCTTCCGAACAGATATTTTCCGAAAATTGTCGTTGGGTCCCCCTGTTTTAAATTCCCACTTGGTCCGCAAGTGATTTCATAATACCGTGGTGTCTAACGCACAGAATCACGGGTGTGCCACCTAGTTTTTCTGTTGCTTTGAAACTCGCACTTGGGAGTTTAGAACACCATGGCATTACAATGAAACTCGCTTACTCAAGCTAAATCATTTTAACCTTTAACTTCCTGACTTGGTGCTCAGTGATTTCATAATGCCGTTGTGTATAAACTCACAGAATCACGGACGCGCCACATAGTGTTTCTGTTGCTTTAAATCGCACTTAGGAGTTTAGAACACCATGGCATTACAATAAAACTCGCTTACTCAAGCTAAAACTTATCAGACATATTAACCCTTAATTTTCTTCTGTGCGCAAGTGATTTAAAATACCGTGGTGTCTAACTCACACTCACGGGCGTGCCACCTAGTGTTTCTGTTGCTTTAAAAATCACTCTTGGGGGTTAGAACACCGTGGCATTAAAGTAAAACTCGCCGCACTTAATAGTAAAGTCATTGTCTTTTTTTAAAAAATAGACACCATTGAAATATGCTAAGGTGCTTCTTAGTGATTTGTCTTCAGGCTTTACTTCAGCGTTCCATTTCTATACAGAGGCAGGAGCCCATCAAGGCTCCTGACAGAGGGTGTGAATGGGGTTAACCGACTAGCGACAAAGGGCAAAAAATATTACCGACTACCGACAAAACGCGAAAAAAATTACCGACTACCGACAGGAAAATTATTAACCGACTACCGACATGGACCGACATTATCTATATTTTTTTCAGAAAGAAGAGTATATTGAATTTTTCCTACCTTTCTAGGAAGTAACCCAAGATACCACGTCACAAGTCTTTTTACAAGTCAGTACCACAAAACGAGGATATTGAAATCGGTTTGCAGAGCGTATGCCAAAAATTTCTACAACCGGCCTAGTCCTAAACATTATATGCGACAGATGCTTAAATTAATCCTCAAAGAAAATTCTTTTCCGTTCAATGGAAAGCTCTACCTCCAAACCCACCATACCGCGATGGGCACAAAGACAGCAGTTTCCTTTGCCAACATTTTCATGTTATATATTGAAACACAAAGTCTAAGCAGCTAAACCAGCTTTAAACCAGACATCGTAACTTTCTTCGAAGAAGCAAACTTGCATGATCCTTCTATTAAATTCACCACCGAAATTCAGTGAGACAATGTTTTTAGACACAGTTGTATAGAAAGGCACAAGGTTAAACGAAAAAGTTATCCTTGATGTAAAGATTACGGAAACCTTCCAGCACACATTTTGCGGCTTGTCACCCACCGATTTGTCAAAAGAGTTTGAGGAAATTGAAGTGTTTCAAAATTCAAAAGAACGCTTGATGGTTGATGATGTACAGAGGCTACCAACACAATTTGAAAGACAAATTGCAATCAGAAACAAAACCGAGCAAGGAAGGAAAAGAAACGTTGCCTTTCTTGACACAATAATAACCACGACGGCCGGTTCACGACGACGACGTCTGTTGACTGGGAAAAGACTGGAACGAGAACGTCAGTTTCGGCAGGAAAAAGGAAACTTAAGATGCAATCAGTCGGTAGGTCGACTACGATGACACTGAATGTAAACACAAATGTAAAACTTTGATGTTCGTTCGCAACAAAGTTTTTCGCAATGGCGTCTTTTAAACAATGCAAGGTCTAATTTTTAAGCCGTACGTCTAATTTCATTGACGATGGAGAATTTTTTGTGTTGTCTGACTTTTTCGAGTGGAAAAACACCTGCTTTCCGCACAAAGATTATTCAACTTTCAACCTGAATGAGACGACCGAGTCCGAGTGTCTGTCAAAGTTTAGATTTGGAAAAAGTGATATTCTGATGTGATAGCTGTTTTCCATATAAAGTTTATTTCCTCTATATTAAAGATATATGATTTGCCTTACCTAAATACGTACAAATAAATTTCTCACTTACGAGTTCGCTCGCTCGGCCTCCATAGCTGTTGTCATTCTTCGAAGTAAAAACAATTCATTATAGTATACTTTTAGTCTTCATAGCCAATAACATCACGGCTTAACTTACAGACGACCAATAACGTCGCGACGTAATTGACCAATCAGATCAATAACCAGAGTATAATAATATCAACTGACCTAATACAACTCACTTTGACTCTGAAGATGACCACCGCATAGGTTGTCGAAACGTCAGTCACTGTCAACAACAACAGTCCTATTCAGGACTACGTTCACCCGGACGATCAAACTCAACCTACTTTTGAAATGACTCCTGGGTTCAAACCTTTCACAGTACACTTTTTGTCGAATTTTCAATCAACATCGCTTGTTAAGAGAAAAAAGCAAACGATACCTGGATTTACGAGGATAAGAAAAAACAAAGGACTTCAAAAATCGCTTAAAACAGTGGATTTATGCACCTATCAATGTAAAGCCGGCGGGGGGGAGGGAGGCAGGGTATGGGGTGGGGATTTGCTTGTCTTTGTTGGCCCTGGGGTAGGACATTGGACTGATCTTGTTCTCACAGGGGAGGGGATATTTGAATATTTCTTCGCCCGACGTGGAGATATTTGACTGCCGACTTGGGCGAAAAAGACTGAGACGGAACATCTGTTTCCCACTTCCACGCTTCACGCATGCCCCTTACGGTTTGAAAAGATCAGGAAGTCATGGAGGCCAATGAGAACAAGCGAAGGCTGAGTGAATTTCACTGTTTTGTCTTCAAATTTCGTTTGTTTTAGCTTGTTTTTGATCAATTGAACCTCTTAAAATACTGTGGAATCAAAGTAAACGAAAGTAAAGAGAAACCCAGTCGATTTTTGCAAATACAATTGATTAGTGTATGGCTCATTCGCTACAATCAGTGTAAACTTACGAAACTGACTTTTTTTGTACCCTTTACTAAGAACGGTATATTTAAACTTACAAAATGTGGACTTTCTCCTAAAGGTTTATGTATTCTACGCAGTGTAACGCGGATTATGGTTAAAACGCATAATTGCAGCTGTCACAGGAACATTTATCTTTGGTGATGCAGCAACGTTTATAGAAGATTGCAGAGTTTTATTTGGAGATATTTTTATTGTGCCTTTCTTGGGTTCTGCCTTGGGATTGACAGACTCTATACAGCCCTCTCGCAAGAATCTTTCGAATACTAGTGGCAAAAGTGAAACTCACCTTTTTCCCCGCTAGCAGTTATTGATCAAAAGACTCCCTTAACAATGATTTGAAGAGATAGATACTTTATTATAAACACCATTGCAGCCATAGGCTGAATTACGGGATATTTACAAATACTGATGATGACAAAGAGAAAATAAAAAAATTATCTACATCTTATAGACATGGCTAAAAATAAAACTTTTCTTCAAACGCTCGGTTTTAGATAGGGGGAGAGTGAAATCACTTTTGCGTCTCAGTGAATATTTACAACTCTTCCTTTGTGGGAGGGAGCTATGGAGACTGTGGGTTTGGTTACAGACGATCTCGTCAAACAGATCTATTGAAATCTTTTCTCTCCTCTCATGAAGTTTCGGTAGGCCAACTGTTTCTAGTGCTACACTATATGACAGGTCAGGATAGATGATTCTGAAAGCCCTCCCTTTGATCCGTTCCAAATCTTCACTGATGTAGTTTGGTAGAGAACGATGGAATACAGGACTTGCGTATTCCAGGACGGGCCTAATACATGTCACATAGAATAGCACCAGTTCACTTGGTGCCACTCCGGATCTCTTTAGTTGACGTAAAAAATAGAGACGAGAGGAACATTTTCTAATTAGTTCAGAGGAGCGCATGTTCCACTTTAAATCGTGGCTAATGGTCACGCCTAGCAATTTGGCACTGGTGACTAATTCAAGGGGTTTGCCATTTAGGACTAGGGGTTCAAAATCGTGGTTGCTGTTGGAGAATCCAATTCGAAGTTCTTTGCACTTGGCCTCATTCAGTTGAAACCCATCGAGACTCGCTTGTCTCGAAAGGTCATCCAGAGCTTCTTGGAGTTTGCTCTCACTACCCTTTGTAACTATTTCGGAACAAGATGTATCATCCACGTATTTCCACATGTCAACTGGTGTGTCCAAGTCATTAATCATGACAAGAAATAACCAGGGGCCTAGTTTTGTTCCCTGGGGGACACCGGAGGGCACAGAGCGCCATTCAGAGTGACAATCCTGAGCAAGTTTAACTCTTTGTTTCCGGTCCATCAAGAAGTCATCAATCCAACCTTTGACTTGACTCGGAATATCATATGTTGTTAGTTTTTGAACAAGAACACTGTGATCGATAAGGTCAAAGGCCTTACGGAAATTAAGTAGGACTACTCTTGCCGTGGCACCATTTCCGTCGGTGTTAACAAGCCAATTATGCGTCATATTGACCAAGGCATGTGTAGTAGACGATTTGGGAATAGTTCCAAATTGTCGAGGGTCGATTCTTTGTAACACAGCAGGTTTCCATTCCCATGCCTAATTTTCTAAAATCTTGCAATAGATAGCTTTTTCTTAACTGGATAAAGAGTTAACTAGCGGCAGCGGCGAGATCCACGTCATCTCGCTAATTCATATGACATTTTTTTCCGACAGGAGCAATTAACTTAATCAAAATATGCTTTCGTCCCCAAAAGGATAACCGGAACTTCCGTAAATACATCATCGACTTTATTTTAAAAATTACAAATGTCTTTTAAACGGGACTCTGTAAAGTGCGGATCCGGACGGCGGATCCGGACGGCGGATGCGGACGGCGGACGGCGCACGGCGGACGGCGGACGGCGGACAATAATAATTTTAAAAAATAAAAATAAATAAAATAGACGTAAATAATAAATAATGAGAAAAAAAAAGACTGAATAATGAGAAAAAGATGTAAATTTTTGTAAACTTTAGAGAAATAAGAAATATTCACTAGCAACCCGGAGTGCTCTTGTGTGTATCAACTGTTGGTGTTCCAAAAATCATTTTCTTTCTTCTATCCCTTCTTTAAACCTCTTCAAATTCCATTTAAATTCAGCTATCTATTTATTTTAGTTATTCTTTAGAGGAATGACTTAAAGGGGCTATGTCGCGAGGTTTCGCCTAATTTTAGTAACTTTAATTTACACTTTTATCTGTCAAAATTCTTTTGTCCACTGATACGAAAGGAACCAGGACTCGAAACGGAACCAGTGGCCACGTACACAAGAGCTATTGCTTTATTTTTATTTAAGTCCAACAATTTCATCGCTCTTTTCTCAAGCGAAACAAAATCAAAAAAAAATGTTAGGTTTGTCTGTGGCGGTAAAGAAGTACAAAGCGAAGACTCTGGTACCATGTTAATATGCTGCAGTGTACTATATTTAGTCAACAGAGGAGAAGAACCTTCGTCCAACAAACAAACAAAACTTTATTAAGACGTATCCATGTTCAACAGATTTCTATCGCTACTCGTACATATTGAGATATTTAGCCGTCCGTTTTCAGAATCGGAAAAATAACCGGGCCAATGGTGTTGCACTATATACAGTGCAGTTGCAGTGCAGTTTGCAGTTACCACACTTCGCATTTTCTACACTTCGCATTTTCCACACTCCACATTTTCTACCACACTTTGTACCACAAAACCAAATTTCCTACACTAAAAGTCCGCGTTTTAAAGGTTAAAAGGGTTAAAAGGTTACTTGCCTGCACAATAACTCTGACTCTGATTCCGATGACCCTGAAAGAGATATAAAGCATTGCGGCAAACACCAAACACCAAATAAAACAGACAACTGCGCAAAGATGAACTTACCACTTCCAGATACTACATCAGCGTAGCTTCTCTTGTTCATTTTGCAAAACCAAAACAACAAACCAAAATTCTGCAAACCAAAACAACAGATCTTCTCTTCGCACGAGTTGCTAGTGAAATCCGAGCCAGCCACGTGTCTGGCCACTCTGTTTGACTCCTCTCCGAAGATTTCCGACAGTGATTCCGACAGTGATTGGAGAATGTCTCGACTAATAATGATTTTCTCTCTTTTTTTTTTTATTTCTCGCTTTTCTTATGTTTTCTTATTCATTTATCTCGTTTATTTATTTTATACGTCTATTTTATTTTATTTTTATTTTTATTTTTTATTTTATTTCTATTATTTTATTTTTTTTTATTATTGTCCGCCGTCCGCCGTCTTATTCATTTATCTCGTTTATTTATTTTATACGTCTATTTTGTTTTATTTTATTTTTATTTTTTTATTTTTTTATTATTGTCCGCCGTCCGCCGTCCGCCGTCCGCCATCCGCCGTCCGCCATCCGCCATCCGCCGTCCGGATCCGCCGTCCGGATCCGCACTTTACAGAGTCCCCTTTTAAACAGAACTTATTACTCGCACGTCATCTCGCTAATTCATATGACATTTTATTCCGACAGGAGCAATTAACACAATCAAAATATGCTTTTGTCCCCAAACGATAACCGGAACCTCCGTAAATACATCATCGATTTTATTTTAAAAATTTCAAATGTCTTTTTAAACAGAGCAACCTTCAGAACACTAGGCCACTTTACTTAAACTTATTTACATTGTGTGTGCCGCGCCGAAACGTTTTTTTGTAACTACCACGTAAAATAATAAAATCAAAACCAAACCAAAGTCTCCAGGTGATTAAGAGAAAAGGACGCGCGCCAGGAGAACGCGAGACCCCAAAAATATTTCTTTCGAAATGTAACCGCATCAGCAGAGATTCTCCGTGAACGGATCGCAATAGTATTGTTCTAAATAAATATCAAAAAGAAAAAGAAAAGGCTTCTTCCGAATAAACGGTTTCGTACTGTGCTTTCCGGTTTCCGGGACGTACTAAAAGTGCCGGAAATAGGATATTTGCTACGCGTGTTTTATTTGTAACGAGAAAATAAATCTTTTACTAATTGTTGGTTTTCACATGACGTCACTAAAATTCAAACTAACAAACCATCGATCCTACCGAGATTTTACTTTCACGATGTATTAGAGCAGCTGAAAACTAATTTTCATACAAATTTTCGCTTCAAAAGGGTTCTTGGTTTTGTGATAGAGTACGCTTGAATTTCTATGCTTTTGTCTGACGTGGCAGGTTAAAAAAATGACTTATTTTGGGAAATTTTGCTATCTAAACAATTCATGTATTAGAAAAAGTATTACTTTAATGTTTATGAGTTTCTCGAAGAATAAATTCACGCTTTTGTAGCAAAACTCGGTAACAGGTGTTTCTGTTGGTTTTCGTCCGCCATGTTGGAGCTCATCCAGGTGAGGACGTTTCTTCGGATATTTTCGTATACGAAATATTCCTCTGACCTGAATCTTGGCGAGGGTCTTTGTATATGTACCTCCTTTCATTTCCCAGATTCTGCACTTTATCTATTGAACGGTTTTGATTTTTATTTTGATCTATTTTGAATGGCGTGACACTGAAAACCAGCAATATACGCCGAAAAATATAGCTGGCGGAGGGTCTCCTACAAGAAAATCTCCTATTAAAAAACACTCTAAGACACACATATAGCTTTTGTAGCTTGTAAACCCCTTACTTTTCCAGTTATTGCGCAAGTGATTTCATAATACCTTGGTGAATCACGGGCGTGCCACCTAGTGTTTCTGTTGCTTTAAAAATCGCACTTGGGGGTTTAGAACACCATGGCATTAAAATAAAACTCGCCTCACTTAATAGTAAAGTCATTGTCTTTCTTCAAAAGATAGTCACCCTTGAAATATGCTAAGGTGCTTCTTAGTGATTTGTCTTCAGGCTTTTCTTCGGCGTTCCATTTCTATACAGCCCTCTCGTCTTCTTGCGAATACTAGTGGCAAAAGTCAAACTCACCTTTTTCCCCGCAAGCAGTTATTGATCAAAAGACTCCCTGAACAATGATTTCCATTCCCATACCTAATTTTCTAAAATCCTGCAATACATAGCTTTTTCTTAACTGGATAAAGAGTTAAATAGCGGCAAACACAGCTTTCTTTGTAAATTTTCTAAATTCACTTGCTTGATTGACGTTTAATTTTTAGTTATTGAGTTTAACATATGAACTCTAAAACTGAATTTATCCAGATTTGTTTTTGCGGTTCAGCTGATTTTATTAAGCCTTCTTTCCATTCGTTTTGTGATGTTGTAATAAGTTGATCGGTTAGTATGAATAGCGAATTGTTATTCCTGTTTTTCGATGTTACAATTGCGAATTTACTTGACTGTATGATTTACGTTCACGAACTGAAGATTAAACTGTTGCAAGTCCAAGCTTGAGTACTGTCAGGGGCACCCAACGAGAATATAGTTCAAAACCACTTAAACATAGCATTGTTAAACGTGTTTCAGTATTTAAACGGTGGATATGGGCATATTTTTATCCCCTATAAACTTTTCATCTGTTCGGATTTCCTAGCTGAAAGTCTAGTGATCCGAAAATTATAGGGATCAAAACTTACCTGTTCGAAAATTTCAGCCAGAAAGAAGGCTCCCGAAAATTCTAGGTGACCTTTTTGGGGTAAAAATCCTTTGAAAATGGGCAATTTTACCATTTTTTAGAAGTTCGAAAATCCTAGGAGAAGCAGGCAGCCAAGAAATTTTACAAAAAATGTTCCGAAAATTCTAGATCTCAAATCGTCTTCCGAACAGATATTTTTCCGAAAATTGTCGTTGGGTGCCCCTGTCCAGTCCTGTTTCCAGTTGTAGCAGATCCTAGTACCTTGGAATGGTGAAGTTCCTTTCCCGCTAGCCAAGCGAGTTGCAGAGTTAGTTTTCGCCCGGCTGTTCTTAAGCCGAAATCGATCGAATTCTCTTAACGCTTATTTCCCCGATTCGTGCTTGGAAGGGCAAAACCTATCGTCACAATTGATCAAAAGACTCCCTTAACAATGATTTCCATTCCCATACCTAATTTTCTAAAATCTTGCAATACATAGCTTTTTTTGACTGGATAAAGAGTTAAATAGCGGCGGCGGCGAGATTTGGTAATTTTTGGCGGGCTTTGGGCACGCTTTGGCGGGATGGCGATTTCACTATTCGACCGAATCCATTTGATCGGGTTGTGCCTAAATCATACCGTTCAAAAGGACAGCCGAGGAGTACTAGGAACGAGTTTCTGATTCGGGCCGACTTCGGAAATTCTCGAAAACATCCAATATGGCGGCTCAAGCGTGGTGAGAACTGACAGCCAAAGGAGCCGTTTTATCGCCAGAGAAGCGTGATCTACGGTATTACTGACGAAGTTTGCGTTTATTGTGAGTTTTGAAGTGTTCTTGGTCCTGTATGGTAAGCAATCCTTTCATAAATGTCTTATCAATTTGTCTTGTCCCACTGGCCGGCATTACCGAAGAAAATAGTACCGTATAAAGGGACATCCTAAATTATAGCAACATTTGTTGGCATGTACATCTCCTCTAGCTTTCATTGTTAAACTGTGTTGTAGGACTGGATTTCTGCAGGTTTCTACAAGCTTAGGATAACTCTATGGGAACATTTTTATTCATAAACGTGGCCTTGTCCTTTTGGCCGGTATTACCGAAGAAAATAGAGGGGGACATGGGGATTTACGGTATTGCGGTATTGGTTTTTTTTTCATGCGGTATTTCGATAATTTTAATTTTAACGTGCGGTATTGCGGTATCATCTAGCTCTGCGGCATTTTGGGTGACGGTATTCGGTGAAATAAGATTGTTCACGGTGTTACGTTACCGTTTACTTGCGCTTTCCAATCGGTACAATACACAAAACAAAACACAGTAAGACATAAAGGTTAATAAAAGTTAATATTTAGAAGTCTTGACACATAACGGTAAATAATTACACCATTTGTGGGTCATTTTGTGACAGTTAATGGTCGATAATATACAATGTGATTGTTGTTGCATCCAATGATAATGAGTCGCCTCAAGTTACCTTACCAGGCTTTTCGATCTGTGTACCTGTGCCGGTAATTCGAGGTCTTGGACGTTTTCTCACAATGTCTGAGGTCGCTGAGGTTGAAGACGGCGAGGTCATCATTGACTGTGTGACAATTTTTTAGCGGAGCTCTCGCGCGCGAAGCGCGCCAGCAGAGCACCATGGGTAAGAAAATGAAGTAATCTACCCATCCGAGAAAATTTGGTAATCACGTGACCGTACATCTACCGACCGACCGCCCGAGAGACCGTCCGTCCGCACCACAGGCATACCAATGTAAAATAACTCAATCAACAGGTATGGCAACCGAAATGCAACTCGAGGTTATTTTGGCGGGAAATCGCATAGCCACCGGCGTCTAGTAAAGCAGAGACAACAAAAGAGTCAATAAAGACGAAAACGGAAAGCGGAAATTTTTTCTGTATCTGTGTTGTCTAAAGTATTAAGCTTAGATAAATTGTCATGTCCATAGATTTGGAATATAGAGCAAGAGAAAGACAGAGAAAAAGAGAAACTGGGCGGCAGGCCAGCAAAGCTCAACGAGAAAAAGGGCGACGGAGATTTAAAAAAGAAAATTTTGTAGCGGCGGTGATGAAATGAGAAATGCTTGCGGCCACCAATAAAGTAAGGTGAAAATGAGCGGCAGTGAAAAAAAGTGAAGGAGAACACGTACGACATTTCCTCCATAAAACGTGTAACTAAGGCCCTGTTTACATGGAGGTGGGGGACCCCAGGTAGGTGAGATAACCCGTTTAGGTGAGGTTAAATATTAACCCTCCTTTACATGCAACCTTACAACCCCTCCATCCCGGGGTGCTCTTTTTCAAGATTATTGAATTGTCACTAAGCACGGCAAACCATGTGTTTTGGTGATGATTATTGCTCTTCTACACTCACTTGCTGCTCTTGCTGCAACCTTCAGTGCTGTGGCTTTGTATTGTTACCTTTAATAATTATGCAAAGCCACCGCCAAAGTGAATTTTGTGAGAATTTGATGTATCACGAATCCGACCCCGGCTACGCGGGTTACCCCACCTTGAAGTTTACATGGCAAAATTTGACCCCGGCTGGGAGGGTTACCTGGTCTGGCAGACCGGGCTAACCGCCATGGCGGGTCACACCTCTTATCATGTAAACGTAATCAAATTAAAATGAGAGATTATATGGACAGGCGGGTTACCACAGCTAAGCGGGTTACCTCACTTACCTGGGGTTCCACACCTCCATGTCAACAGGCCCTAAGAAGTTTGTGGAAGTTTCATGTTGTAGTCGTGCAAAACAACGGCAAAGAAATGTACCAAAAAGTGTACTGCACGTGCAAAGTTGCTGTTTTGCTAATTAGACCTATTGCTGTTTTTCACCGTTCTCCGGCGTTGCATGCCTTCGCCGCTTAGCATTACTATACAATATCAAACAATAAACTGTAAATATTACAACTGTAAATATGAACAAACTATAAATATTATTGAGAGCTTCGCTTTTAGCCCTAAATCTATATATTTGAAGAGGGCGAAGGAGGCGAACAATATCGCAAAAAGAATAAGTTTAGATGTCGGGTTTTGCCTTGTAAAGTTAAAAGAGAAAATTTGCTAAGTTTGTCTCTTACTAGCGCGGCGTGTGAGACAGTCGAGATAGTTGACCCCTGAGAGACTGACGTGCTAGACTAGACTCAACTATCAAAACTCGCACTAGACGTGCGTGGAAAGGGTTTTGGTTGGTTTGTTTTTCGCGCTTTCAAGAGTTATTTTTATTGGAGTTAATTAGCTGTTGGGTCGACCTACCAGAAGGCTGAACGAATGTAGTTTAATTTTAAGTGAAAATCTGCCAACTACCAAAATATTAAAAAAAAAACATGGAAATCTGTTGCATAAATGCCTGAGATAATTAAACGCGCTAGATGGAAGCAACCATAAGTATGCGGAACCGATTATAACTGTGATTAAAATATGCGGTATCGGTATTTAGACGATTTTCGACGCGGTATTTCGGTATTTGCTATTTTTTCTTACGGTATTGCGGTATTGGGTACCCCCCAATGTCCCCCTCAAAATAGTACCGTCCAACGGACATCCTGAGTTTTAGCAACATTTGTTGGGAGGTATATCATATCTGGGTTTTTTATTGTTAAACGGTGATTCTTTAGGTTCCCAAAAGGTCAGGGTAACTAAATAGAAGTGTTTTATTTTTTAGTAAAAAATGTCTTGTCCTTTTGGCCTGTATTATCTAAGGAAATAGTGCCGCCTAGCAGGACATCCTAAACTATGTCAGCAGTTGCTTGCATGTATTACTACATGACATGCAGCTTGTTATTGTTACATTGAAGTATATACCTTGCTCTCTGAAGGCTTTTTCCTACCAGCTGGGGTCAGCTGAACAAAGATAGTTTTATTCATTCCTTGTTGTTGTAATCACCTAAGAATGTCCACCCAGGGGGACAATCTATACGGAGTACTCAAAACTGACAGCTAGAGGTGCCGCCAGGGAAGCGTGATTTTACGGTATACTTTGCGATGTTTGAGATTCTTATGTTCTTTGAAAAATTCCTGATTGATCATATCAGAAGTCGATTTTGTAAATGATATCCTTTCATTCATGTTATACAGTTAGATCTATTATTATCATAAATATTATTGTTATTATTGTTGTTACTATTATTTATTGTTGTTATAGAATAATTGTTATTTCCTGACCTCATTATTTGTGTGTTGTTTGACTGGTCAGTATCACTCGGCAAAAAAAGGTTGGTACAGTTGGCTGTACTCTATGGCTGGCACTATCAAAACAAATCAAAATTCTTTTTTTTTTGTGACAACAACATTATTCTCACCCCACCTTCACCCCCTCCCCCCACCTCTCCAAACTGAAATTGTGGTTCAATTTTATCCTTGGTCTAAATTTGATTTTCTTTTGTTTCAAACTCCTTATCTTACATTACCATACCCAAAAACCTACCTACCTTGGCAGCAATCAACCTTGGTTGTTGATTCGGGAGACTCTCTATTTTTAACTTCCCGCGGGCCCCTCTCCCCAACTGTCAACAGCCCCAGTAACCCCACTACCGGTCGGATAAATAAATCAAGTAAACAAGATCCTCGAGTTGCTCTGTGCTGCTCACTAGTGCTCATTAAAAAAATATTGAAAAAAGAATTGGAAAAAAATATATTAAAAACTTTGAAGAGGAAGCTAGGCTAAATAGACAGTGCATTGTAACTGTCTACCAATTTCATAACAAGAAACCGTAAAATTCCGAAAATGAGTTCCTCCGTGTATAAGCCCCTTCAAATATAAGCCCCTCAAACCGGTAACGCAAAAAAACCTCCATTAAATCGCCTCTCCAAATATAAGCCCCCTGGGGACTTGTAGTTGGAAAATTTCCTCAAATATATAGTAAAACAAAGCAAAAATGGTAGATTTATTCCCAGCTATAAGGCTAGCCCAATCGATTTTCAAACGCAAATTTCCCTCCGTAGATAAGCCCCTCCAAAAATAAGCCCCTCAAAAAGGGCCTTTGAAAAATATAAGCCCAGGACTTATTTTCGGAATTTTACGGTATGCTTTGTTCTTCGTTCATGGACGAAATTACAGAAACCCATCAGTTACAAGTTCTGTTCAATTTCTACATTACAGATGTACCACAGCAATTAAACTCAACTGATTGTGGTGTCTTTGTCTGTATGGTAGGTTTTGCTATTTCATCACCTTTGCAATAAACATTATTTAATGGAAAGTCATTCATTATGCAATTCCATCAAAATAAATGTGAACTTTTAAGTATTATCCATCAAAACAAATTTCATACATCACTACTTTTACTGATTAGTCTGCAGAGTACCTTAGTAGCCGGATAATGCCCAACTATACGCAGGTATTAAAACAGGGGCACCCAACGTCAATTTTCGGAAAATATCTGTTCGGAAGACGATTTGAGATCTAGAATTTTCAGAACTTTTGTTGTAAAATTTCTTGCTTGCCTGCCTCTCCTAGGATTTTCGAACATCTAAAAAATGGAATAATTGCCCATTTTTAACGGATTTTCACCCTTAAAAAGGTCACCTAGAATTTTCGGGAGCCTTTTTCATGGCTGAAATTTTCGAAAATGTAAGTTTTGATCCCTATAATTTTCAGATCACTAGACTTTCAGCTAGGAAATCCGAACAGATGAAAAAATTTTGGGGGGATAAAAATATGCCTACATCTATCTTTTAAATATTAAAATACGTTCAACAATGCTATGTTTAAGTGGTTTTGAACTATATTCGCGTTGGGTGCCCTGTTAAAAGTTCAGACGCTAGACAATTTTCAAAAAACCACTCCTGTTTGGTTATCCTTGGATTTCAAATGTTAAACCAGAAAAAGGGTTTTGCACTTCCCCATCTGATTACAACAACAAGGAATGAATTAAACTATCTTTGTTCAGCTATCCCCCCCAGCTGGTAGGAAAAAGCCTTCAGAGAGCAAGATATGTATTACAATGTAACAATAACAAGCTGCATGTCATGTAGTAATACATGCAAGCAACTGCTGACATAGTTTAGGATGTCCTGTTAGGCGGTACTATTTCCTTAGATAATACAGGCCAAAACGACAAGGCATTTTTTACGAAAAAAAAACCACTCCTGTTTAGTTACCCTGGCCTTTTGGAAACCTAAAGAATGACCGTTTAACAATAAAAAACCCAGATATGATATGCCTCCTAACAAATGTTGCTAAAACTCAGGATGTCCCGCTGGACGGTACCATTTTCTCCGGTAATACCGGCCAAAAGAACAGGGTCACTTTTATAAATAAAAATATTCCTATACAGTTATCCTAAGCTTTCTCGATCTAATCTCCAAGTAAGCGTGACTGGATGCCACTGTAAGCTCGTTCTTGTCTTTTATCAAATCATGGCATGACGTTAAGGTCTCTAAATAAAGGCCCCGAGGAGGTGTCTCATTTTTTGTCAAGGATTACTCTGGCGCATCGTTTCTGTAAATTGATTACGTCTTGGACGGGCGGCTTCGGTTTGTTTCATGTCCCCAAGTAACCCCCGTAGTCAAGTATTAGCTGGATAAGTGAGTCGTAAAACAAACTTCTCAGCTTTCAGTCACAGAAATTTATCTGTTCTTTTCAAGAGGCCAAGTCGCTTTCCTATATTCGATGCCGTTATTTAAAAACAGTTGTCTCTCTTTATGCCAGGTAGTTTAGTATCGGCTACAGAATCAAGCTGAACCTCAACTGTTCTCACATTAAGATTTCTGCCGTTCAAGCAGTTAGCCCCAAACTTATGCTGTAGACAATCGCTTGCAGGGACGAGAATCATCAGCAAACGCAAACGCAAACACAACTTACATATGAGCTTCTGGGAACGAAAACTCGAACTTACCCTATGGCTATGTGGAAGACGAGCTCAGAGCACTAGCCTAATCACCAATTAACCGACTGCTGCTTCAGCCACGAACACTGAGATACACTCATAGAAAATAGAAGTAGTTGATTATGTAACTGAAAAGGAAGCAGCGTACTTACCACGGAAACTGCGAGGTACTGTTCTCTGTGACGCAATTAATTACCAGCAGTCAAATGAACGATATGCTGCTTGTTAGCTCTAATCAATGGTCAATTTTCTGTGCGAGTCATAGAACCGTGAAATCTCGACATTTTGACACTTTTCCAATCGTGAGGGAATGAACCGTTCACCCGCTAGATCATTCGTTCTGTTGACATTTGCTTGAAAGAACTATCTTTGATCCTAGCGCACTTGTAAAATGTATTAAAGATAAGAAGGCTGTCTTTGCCAAATCATTGATATCGTATCAGAGGATTATAGTTTTTGTTTGATATTAGTCAAAAGTAAATCAACTGCGGTAAAGATACAGTCCAGTTCAGAACATTAGGTTAATTTTTCAAAGCTATTCCCGGCGTTGTTTAGCATTGGTCACCCAGTGAAGGCCCTTACATAATGGAGACCGCAAGAAAAGGATGGGCGGTTTTGAGTATTTTTAGAGTCGGGGGTATTCATTTTTAGTGTCTATTAAAAGCCATGCATCTGTGCATGATTTAAAAAAAGCCATCGTTTATGATTTTTCCAAAAAACTGTTATCATTAAATAGTTTGAAAATGAATAAATTGACGATGATTGGCGAGATTTAGCATTTTAGACCAGACGTCACATTCCAATGTTCAGTTTAGAAAAAGACGCGTCATTCATGTTCACTGAACTGGGAATGGACCCGAATGACGCCGCTGTTTTGTTATAGGAATAAACAATCATACCGCTGGGCCGAAAAGTCCCAGGTACATATTTACTGAACGACTTGCCGTTTCATTGACTTATTCTAGTTTTGGCTTTAAACGAGGGGTTTTTCTTACTTATAATTCCGAGTAGATTGGCATCTCTGCGGTAGCAGTCACCTGAGTTTGACTTTTGGGAGCTAGTTGCATAAATCTCAAACGCGAGACACACCAGCTAATCCGTATTTCAAACTGAAGTACAAATTATTAGCTACAAATGCTCTCCTTTTTTCACCACTCTTATATAATTCTATCTCGTTCCAAATGCGCATACTTCTTCAGTTTTCAAAGAACTGACAAAAGTAAATAGAAATAATTTCTATTCTGTTCAAAAACGACTCCTCGTACCTTTAATACGTCGATGGAATGCAGACGAAAGCGGGTTTAAAGCGATCAAAGAAGGACTAAATTCTCTCCAACTACTAACTGTTCTCACATTAAGATTTCTGCCGTTCAAGCAGTTAGCCCCAAACTTATGCTGTAGACAATCGCTTGCAGGGACGAGAATCATCAGCAAACGCAAACGCAAACACAACTTACATATGAGCTTCTGGGAACGAAAACTCGAACTTACCCTATGGCTATGTGGAAGACGAGCTCAGAGCACTAGCCTAATCACCAATTAACCGACTGCTGCTTCAGCCACGAACACTGAGATACACTCATAGAAAATAGAAGTAGTTGATTATGTAACTGAAAAGGAAGCAGCGTACTTACCACGGAAACTGCGAGGTACTGTTCTCTGTGACGCAATTAATTACCAGCAGTCAAATGAACGATATGCTGCTTGTTAGCTCTAATCAATGGTCAATTTTCTGTGCGAGTCATAGAACCGTGAAATCTCGACATTTTGACACTTTTCCAATCGTGAGGGAATGAACCGTTCACCCGCTAGATCATTCGTTCTGTTGACATTTGCTTGAAAGAACTATCTTTGATCCTAGCGCACTTGTAAAATGTATTAAAGATAAGAAGGCTGTCTTTGCCAAATCATTGATATCGTATCAGAGGATTATAGTTTTTGTTTGATATTAGTCAAAAGTAAATCAACTGCGGTAAAGATACAGTCCAGTTCAGAACATTAGGTTAATTTTTCAAAGCTATTCCCGGCGTTGTTTAGCATTGGTCACCCAGTGAAGGCCCTTACATAATGGAGACCGCAAGAAAAGGATGGGCGGTTTTGAGTATTTTTAGAGTCGGGGGTATTCATTTTTAGTGTCTATTAAAAGCCATCTGTGCATGATTTAAAAAAAGCCAGCGTTTATGATTTTTCCAAAAAACTGTTATCATTAAATAGTTTGGAAATGAATAAACTGACGATGATTGGCGAGATTTAGCATTTTAGACCAGACGTCACATTCCAATGTTCAGTTTAGAAAAAGACGCGTCATTCATGTTCACTGAACTGGGAATGAACCCGAATGACGCCGCTGTTTTGTAGGAATAAACAATCATACCGCTGGGCCGAAAAGTCCCAGGTACATATTTACTGAACGACTTGCCGTTTCATTGACTTATTCTAGTTTTGGCTTTAAACGAGGGGTTTTTCTTACTTATAATTCCGAGTAGATTGGCATCTCTGCGGTAGAAGTCACCTGAGTTTGACTTTTGGGAGCCAGTTGCATAAATCTCAAACGCGAGACACACCAGCTAATCCGTATTTCAAACTGAAGTACAAATTATTAGCTACAAATGCTCTACTTTTTTCACCACTCTTATATAATTCTATCTCGTTCCAAATGCGCATACTTCTTCAGTTTTCAAAGAACTGACAAAAGTAAATAGAAATAATTTCTATTCTGTTGAAAAACGACTCTTGTTACCTTTAATACGCCGATGGAATGCAGACGAAAGCGGGTTTAAAGCGATCAAAGAAGGACTAAATTCCCTCCAACTATTAGAAAATATAGCGGGAAGCGGCCAGAGAAGTCAGAGAAAGCGTTTCGTCGTGCGGAGAAGATCTGGAAAAGGTACTTGGTCCTGGATTACTGAATTGGGGATTAAAATGAGGTATTCGTTCGAGAAGCAATATCGTATGATTTCCTGACGGTGGCGCATGACCGTCGAGTCAGAAACTCGGGAATTCACGTAGTTGTTGATTATGTAAGCTTAAATGATTTTTATGGAGGGTCGCTGACTGGATTCAGCTGTACGTTGATGCTCTTCAGTCCTTCTCAATTTTCTAAACATCAGCCGAAGCACAAAAACGTACCCGTGTTAAGGTCGACACCAATCATTCGATCACTTTATAAATTCTCAATAACTGCTAATTGTGTGAAAGTGTAATGTTCATGGAGAATGTTGATGGAGATCACTATTTCTTAAGCCTGATCGCACTGAAACAGCTCAGTTCAGTCACAGTTCAGCTTTTAAGTGTGGATCGTAGTGGATATTTTCACACTGATTAAATCTGTGAAGTTAATTGTTTTAAGGGTATGAGGAGTGTAACCACATGAATCAGATGTTTTTAGTAAACAGAGTAATTGCACTTTTAATTTGAGCTTTGGTCAAACTCAGGTGATTGTGAGTTTTAGGTTTGATGCTTAGACCATCTTGTTCGTGTTTTTGCGGTGACTCGAATCTCGATTTGAAATGCCTGTATTTGATTTTTTTAAAGTTTAATGATGAGAATTTGTGCTTTAATTGAACTCGAGTTTTTTTCTTATGTCATGCATGATTTAAAGGTACTTGAAGTTATTCATAACTTGTGATCAATAATAGATGGTATAATTGTTAAGAACTTCCTTGAATGCATGTTAGTGTTGTTGAGAGAACATGGTGATGACCAGCCTTTAATTCTTCAAACAAAACTAATCCTAAAGGAAACATTGATGATAGAGCATGTCCAGCATTAAAGGGACTGTGTCACGATAGTGCGCATGCGTGAGCTGTGACAGTAGCTGATTGTCTTTGAACCAATCGGAAGCGAGTAACATGAACGCGAGGAAATTTACATAATTCAAGATTCATTGTTCGCGAAGCGCGAGTCTTCCGGACGTTTTTGTTCGATTTTATATATCCCCATAATTCATATTTATTCTCTGGTATTCCTCAGATAAATGTTGCAGCTGATAAGAATAAGATTACCAACACTGTCCTGCTTTGAAGCAAACATTTAGCAACGTGTATTTTTATGTACCCACGCGAGAAAACCAGTCTCCGATCCGCAATTAAAAATAATTTGAAAACAAACCTTTTTCTTCACCAAAACGCCAATCTTGAAAAACTGTCCACCAGAACACAAATCAAGTTGCCGCACATGCGCAGAAGCGTGTCACAGTCCTTTAAGTAAAACAGTTTGCCCTTCCTGATGCAACAGAGCCGCTTAGCCTTCTCAGGCTGTGACTGTGTGAGAATTTTACTGATTCTCCAGGTGGTTCAGAGGGAACTAAAAATGAGCTTTCAGATATTGTTTGAACCCCTGTTTAGCATGTTTGGCCTTCCTGATGCAACAGAGCAGCTTAGCCTTGAGGCTGTGGCTCTGTGAGAATTATATTCTCCAGGTGTTTCAGAGGGAACTAAAAATGAGCTTTCAGATATTGTTTGACGCCCTGTTTAGAATTAAGTAAAAACGTTTGGCCTTCCTGATACAAAAGAGCAGCTTAGCCTTTTTAGGCTGTGGCTCTGTGAGAATTTTATTCTCCAGGTGTCTCAGAGAGAACGAAAAATGCGCTTTCAGATATTGATTGAATCTCTGTCTAGCATTAAGAAATACAGTTTGGACTTTCTGATGCGAGAGAGCAGCTTAGCTTTTTTAGGCTGTGGCTCTGTGAGAATTTTATTCTCCAGGTGTCTCAGAGGAAAATAACAAATAGCTTTATTTTTAAGACAATGTTTTTTAAGTATTAAGTTCCCAGTATTGCATCGTTTTCCTCAAGTGCTCTTTCAAATATTGCAAGTGTTTCGCTTACATTTGAATTTAACCCCATCCAGATCCAGTGGGCCTTTAAAACTAACGCGTCAATTTTAAAAGTTGCATAAGGCAGTTTCCGTTTGGCAGTTAGTGTTAGTTCTGGCCTTAAATGAAGATTCCATAAAAAGGTTGCGTTTACATATAGTTATGGAGATCTCGTAAGCACGAACTGAAATATATGAAATGATTCATAAATTGTTTTGAACTGCGGATGAAGGTATGAAAGTTAACATGATCATCGCAGTAAAATGCGCAGCCTATTCGGTTACTTTTGCCGGTCTGAAAAGCGTTGATCAAATGTACCCATCGGATACATCTAGAAATCCGTTTTAACCTTGCCTTGTGTTTCATTCGATCCTCGATCTTCTACAGAAAACCTCTTTTTGAGCAAAATTTAACCATT